CATGCATGCTTCACTTATCTCTTCTTCATCTACTTTACTTCGCCTCTCTCTCTTTCTGTGTCATTCGGTTAAGGCACTCCACACATGCTTCACTTATATCTTCATCATCTACTTCGCCTTTCTCGGTTTCTCTGTCATTTGGTTAAGGCAAATTGGACTGTGTCCAACACTGGAATGGCACTCCTTATGGGCGTGTCCGTGCTTCATAGCATTCACACCAACTCTAGTTTGCACCAACTTTACAATTTCAAATCAGACTTGCACCTATTTATAGGAAATCGCATTGTCCATTAAGATTAATTATCTATAATAATCTATATAAGTATCTTAAATATTAGATTCTAAATTCTCCAAACATATTGTGTGCAGCACAACCTATCGAAAACACGACAAAAAAGTGATTATCAAAATCATGTTAATTATTCTTTAAGTTCAAAAAAATTCTGTTTAATTGTATACACATGAAAATCACAGTTTCAAAAAAAAAAAAAAAAAATGTATTCATTAATTATTTTGTATCCTTGCCCTCGCCTTGATAATACATTATTGCTACTATATAGAATTCGGTACCCTATAGACTCTGCTTATGAGTAAAAGACTGCCCTTATATATTAGTAAAAGGTTATCATTGTTAATTTGAATAAAATGCAAAAAGAAAAAATAAATCTCATTGTTCTATTCTTATTTGGTATAAACATATAACCTCTTAATATTTGAAAAATGGATACAAATTGCCCGTCCTTAGAAAGTATCTGTTCACTGTCAATTTTGAAAAGAAAGAAAAATAAAAAAAGAAGAAAATCTTTTAAAACTCCAAAAGTGCAGTACGGAAATGCATGTTGCTTGGACTTCTAGAATTCACTTATACATACATGTAGCTGTGTGAAGATGGGACTAACGCAAACGAAAGTGGTCGACACAATCTCACACTCACTGAACTTCTCGTCAAATCCGTAGAATTTGAATCAATTTCTATTGATCCAATACATTTAACTAGTGAGATAAAAATTATAAGCGAAAAACAGAAGATGCCACTCCTGAATAAAATGAACTATTAGGATTTAGGATACAATGACATTTTTTATTTATTTATTTTTTTTTTCAAAGGATTTAGAATGAATATTTGGTGTTTCTCGCGCGTTACGTCAATGGTATACCCGCAATTAAGAATAGATTTAGAAAGGACGGATTTAAAAATTCATATGAGGAGGGATGCAAATTTATATAGAAGAATTTTTTATAATTGGGTAAAGTCCATAGACACTCCATGAGATTTGCTAAAAAGACAAGCAGGTAAAAGTTTACCTATTTTTGAAGCACCCCCTTGCGAATTTTTTTATCCAAACAGAGTCTTAAAACATTTGAAAAGTTCATTTTACCCTTCACTATTTTATTAAATTTAATTATAAAATATCAAAACACTTAAATGACTAAATTACCCTAAGCACCCTTCTCTCCTCCCTCCGTTTTCTCCTCCTTCATCCTTCTATTTTTTGCTTTTTTATATATGCACACAGATACATACATACATGTATATACAGATACATACATACATGTATCCACTCACACACACACACAAGGCGGTGACCAGTGGCGGCGACAACGACGGCGAGCTGTCATTCTTGGGTTTGAGGTCATAATAGATGATGCCCATGGTATGGAGGTGTTCGAGAACGCAGAAGATCTCGGTGGAGGAGCGGCGGCAAGTTTGCCGTTTTTTTACGGTGAGTCTATGGGTTAATGGAATCGAACGCGGGCCGCGGATCTAGAGTCAAAGGATGACGATGATGCCAAAGGTGGAGGAGAAGCGGCTTGCCGTCGTAGTCGTCGCCGCCGCTCATCGGACGGTAGAGGCAATGGCCACTTCAGCCTCCTCGCCCTTGCAGGTGACGCTTGCCGGATTGTGCTCATCTGAACCTTGCCTAATTGTTCAGTCCGTGGTCACATCGTCATCAGAGCTTGGTCCTCGCCGACAATTTCAGGCTCAGAGTTCGTGTCTACCGTTTTATTTTGACTGTCTTTACTCGTTGATTTTACCGTTGTTTAGATCCTTACTCTCCACGGGGGGAGGCTTGATGGTGTCACAGGTGAAAACATTCATGCCCATGTTGTTGAATTTGGATTTTATGACGATATTTTTATACATAACTCAATGATGTGTTTGTATTCATGATTGGGTGACAGAGCTGTGGTTGTTAGAAATTGTAGGGATATCCAATTGAGCACCTAATCAAAAGATCCAATTTCATATTGTTTGGATTTTGAGTTGTTGGGTTTTGTTATACAAAAATTTGTTGGTATAATTTGATCCTTTCTATGTTTGTATGTATGTATATATATATATATAGATATGTATGTGTGGCTTTGTGTGGTGGCGGTGGAATGGTGGAGGGGAAGATAGGCGGTGGCAGAAAAGAGACTGCTTTTTATTTTTTATTTTTTTTTTATGCATAACTTGTTCATGAGAGTAGGTTTGTCTAATTTATTATCAAAGGGTAATTTGGTCAATTTCTCATATCGGGGCTGTCTTTGTCTATTTTTGAACCTTTAAGGGATGTCTTTGTCCAAAAAATGGGTAAGTTTTACCTGTGTCTTTTTGGCAAACTTGAGGGAATGTTGTTGTACTTTACCCCTTATAATTTTAGTAGGGATAATTTTAAAATTTTATGAACAAAAATACAAAAAAGTATAAATTTAGAGGTGTAAAATGTAATAACAAAACTGTAGATCCGTGTTTGTCTACAATGTACTACTCCCTCCGTCCCGCAAAGAGTGTCGTGGGGAATACAACTTTTTAAGAGTGTTATTTTTTAGTATTATTTTTTATTATTTTTTTACTAATATGCCCTTGTAGCAATTTATGAGTGGTACAAAAGTTGCTTGACCCAATTTAAATTTGAATTGTGGGGTCCACAATAGCTTTTTTAGAAGTTTTAATAACTTTTATAATTTCAAGACAAAGGGTATATTAGGAATATTTAAAAAATAGTGTATTGGTTTTTGAAGTATGACACTTATTTTGGGACAGTCAAAAAAAGGAAAATATGACACTTATTTTGAAACGGAAGGAGTAATATTTTTTTTAAAAAAATTGATACTTATAAAATTGATGATAATAAGATAATATGTTATATTTGATTGATTGAGCAAATTAATGACATCGCGGCACGGCACACCTAATATTTACTTCAAATTTAGGGATGTCATTTTAGCCTGCTCCACTATAACTTGCCCCATCCCCTGTTGAAACGGGTTTGCTAATCCAGAGACGAATTTAGAAAAATAGTTTGAATCCTGAGACCGTCCCAAACCCACTATAATTAATAATAAATATATAAATAAATATTCTATCATTAATAATTTTCCTTCAGTTTTATGGTAATTTTAAATTTTAACAACAATTTTATTATTATTATTTTTAAATGTGTCAATACTTAAATTTTCTTACAAAATATATCTCAAAATTGTTCAGATTAGAATTGTTTTTCTTAAATATATATATATACATATATAGTGGCATCCCGAGCCACACTGACTCCAATGGAGGACTGAACGACTCGGATAAAAGTTCAAAACTTTTATTTGTAGGACAGGTTTGAAATAGGAATGCTCTCCGTTAAACATTTCTGATCATACTTGTACAAGCTTCATCGCCTTCAACTATAATTATTTATTTATTTTTTCGCAAATAATCAAGCATGACTATTTTAAACTGTTTCCTTTTTGGTATTTATTAGTATATATTGATGTTAGAATCTTAAATTTTTAATAGTAGAATTGTTATAAAGTAGTTAGTAAACATTTGGTGACACATTGTATAAAGTATTTTTTATACTTGAAGTTACACTAAGCATGTGCTAATTCACTAATATTAAATATTATAAAATTTCTATAAGTTAAACAAGTTTTAATGATAATTAATTTGTTTTTGATTTGGAAGGCAACTGTAGAGTTTCAAACTAATTTAAAATCTTCTTTTGCTATATAGTCCCAATATTGTTTGCTATTTGTTTGTAGCAGGAAAAAAAATTGTATTTATAAAAAATAAAAAGGGATTAAATTGTCTAAAAAAAATTAATTACTTAAAAACATAAACCACTACCCGTAGTAATTTTAAAAGTTACGATTTTTAACTTTACTTTTACGTATTTCTTTGACGTAAACCTTACTATCACCTATGAGCTTCATTTTTTATTATTATTTTTTTTCACCAAACAAATTGACCCGCAATTTTTAAAAATAAAAGTACTTTTCCGCAGTAGACTAGTAGTGTCTACAAATCATAATATCCATTCCAATAAGGTAAACCGTCCCACTCCACTTATTCCTTGCCTTTCCTGCCAAGCTCACACTAATGTGGATGCTTTATGGTATATAAATAAATCAATGATACCGATAATTTAACACATTTAAATAAAAATATAACAATAATAATATTTTATTATCAATTTAATAATGGTACAATATGAGTGTTACATCGTAAATTCCTCATGTGCGTTACATTCAAGTTTTTGTGTGTTATATGGTAGATTTAAATTACATTCAATCATTAGTGCATAGGAGACCATTTTAATCCTATTTTTGATTTCATTTGGAAAGAAAATAAAAATTTTAGGATCATGATTTGGAACTCTAACAAATTCAACTGATTCCGGCAAATTCAACTGATTTATGTGGGTGATGATTAATACTCTCGTTAACATTCTTGACCTTATGATGACATAAACTTTTACTTATATAAAATTAGTCTGTGTCCGTTGTAGACTTTCGATTATTATTCAATTTTTTATTATCCATTTATTTGGCAAAAAAAAATTTTCAAAAACATATAAAAAAATTTATTATTTTATTATTTAACAACTCCAAACGTATCATAAAAGAATGGGTGTTATTGTAAGTTCATAACAAAATCAAAACTTTTCTGTATTTTTGTAAGAAAATTTTACAAGTTAGATAGTTATAAAAAATATATATATATTTTATTTCTCTTTACAGATCTTCTTCTCCATCTTAACAGTGCAACTCAACAACAAATATCCAACAACAATTTACACTGGACAATTCAAGTCTGTTTGAGTTGTCCAACTGAGAAACTAAAAATGTTAAAAAAAATTAAAAATAAATAAATAAACATCAGAGTTATACTCATCCCTTCACCTACTTGTCTATTTTGTCAGTAATCTATCGGCGTCTGTGTGTATATATATATGTGTATGTGTGTATGTATTGTTAGTAATCAGTTGCCCTCTCTCTCATTCTATCTGCGTTCTTACTTGGAAGTTGGAACTGACTCTGAGACTGTTTTGAATTTTGATCATCCCTTGCACACTTTCTCTGTCAATCAGTTTTATTTTTTTATTTTTTGGGAGTAGATGTCAGGGGCTCTAACTCGGCTTCAATGGCTGGCTCTGGCGTTGACCGTGCACCTCGTAATGGTCGCCGGTGAGTTCTTCGAGCCATTCAACGTCACCTACGACCACAGAGCTCTGATTATCGATGGAAACCGCCGAATGCTCATTTCTGCTGGAATTCACTACCCTCGAGCCACTCCTCAGGTACTTCATTCTCAATCAAGCTTCAATTTTAATCTACCTGTCATTTATTGATATTTATGCATACATATGTATATATTTAGGTACATAGGTTGTTTCAGTGTATATGTTTCTTGATGGTTGAAATTGATATGCTATTATTCGATAGTTCAATACGTGTTCTCTGTTTGCCTTTTGATGATTTATTTTCTCAATTGTGCAATTAGGGTTCTTTCGGTCCAATTAGGCATTTGAGAGGAAACCAGTTTAGTTTGTATACACAAAAACATATTAGAAAATACGTTCTTCATTTTTTTTTTTTGGTAGAGAATTTGATAAAATTCGATTAAAACTGGAGTAACTGAACTAACTGCAGGGCCACTGCTTCATGCAATGGTGAAAGATTTAGCTATCAAAATTCGAGAAGGAGGAGTTTGAGAGCAATCACTTTGTGCAAAAAATGGCTAAGAATAAGTTCTATGTCTAGTCCAAACTTCCCAACACCCCAGATCATCGGCTGGGTGATGGCTATTTGGTTTATTGAAAAAATTGATGAAATTTTCACTTTTGGGTAAAGGAAAATATCAGCCCTGGAATTCACTGCTAACAATAAAAGTTTTGCCAGAAATATGCTATTTAGTTACACAAAATATGGGTTTTTTTTTTTTTTTTTTTTTAAATTTTTTCTAAATATATTTTGTTTTATCTACTATTTCAAGAGTTATTTGGGTAATCTATATGCATAACACTTCAAATGCTGTGGAAATGAGACCATCGCATTGGTTTTACAGAAAGAATAATCCATCTGTCTTTTTTCTTTTTTCTTTTTCATGAGATTTAAATAGTAATTTGATTCACACGATGTTTAGATAATTATCCAATGATAAGATCATTTTATTCATCTTGTCAAGTAATAAAAATCCTTGTTTAATATGATTCGCATGATGTTAGATGTGGCCTGATCTGATTGCTAAGAGCAAGGAGGGTGGGGCAGATGTCATCCAAACTTATGTATTTTGGAGTGGACATGAGCCAGTTAGAGAGCAGGTGTGGTAATTTCTTCTGGTATAGTCTGAGGTGCTATTCTTACACGGTTGGCATTGGTAGGATTTTGTTAATTTTACTAAAGTATTTTTCTTATTTTTGATTTGTTTTGCAGTATAATTTTGAAGGGAGATATGATATTGTGAAGTTTGTGAAACTAGTGGGTTCCAGTGGACTCTATCTCCATCTCCGAATAGGTCCTTACGTATGCGCTGAGTGGAATTTCGGGTCTCATCCTCTTTCGAAGTCTGATTATATATATTTAACTTACAGTTGCATAAATCTATCTGTCAAAGTCTTGAAAGATGACATCCCTTGATTTTGTTACAATGCAAATCATATCTGCTATTGTAATTAACTTAGAGATGATGCTTGGTTGCTCTGAACATATGTTGTAATGCACAATAGTGGGGGGCGATAAATTAGCTTCCTCCTTGAGTTCCTCTATAAGAGTGGTTTCAAAAATGGGGAGTGTTAATCTCTCTCTCTGTATATATGCAGAGGTCGTCTCAACCTCTGTTATACTCAATCTCTTCCTGTGTCTCTCTATCATTATATTTTTTAATTATACGTTCTTCCTTAAGAAAAATATAGAGACGCTATATGTGGGGAAGCTAGAAAAGCTGTTGCACAATCCCAATAATATGCTTAAATTCAGACATGTAAAAGGTTTCTCATTATGTTCATATTAGGACCATGATAACAAAATTGAGTAGTTGTGCCCCTCAGTATTTCACATAGTTATGTCTCTCTTTTGGATGACACCATCTAACAGAATAGAGAAGATCCAACAAGAAATCCTATATCTAGGAGTTCAGCAAGGCCACTTATTAGTTGTTTATCCCTGTTTAGGCAATAAGGAGGAATTTTAAACTACCTGATAGTCTTGCTTACTTTTATACTAAAATAGAGTATCATTGAGGGAATAGAAAGCAACTTTCCTCCTCGAGGTGTAAAGACGAAAGAACTACTGTTAAACCCTATGCATGAAAGGATAAATTTTTAATTATTATTTATTTTATAAAAATATAAAAGGATATTAATTATAACTAAAAAGGATATGTGAAACAACATTTTATGTTATTGATATGTAAACACTCAAGGATATTAACTATGCATTAAAGGATATGTAGAAGATGTTCATGCATAGGGTATCTGCTACATATTGTTTCCCATATCCTTTTTAGAAAGAAGTTTCTGCAGATACCTTATTTCATTCAAGTTTCTGCAGATACCTTATTTCACATAGTTATGAGTGTTTACATATCTAAGTTATTATATTAAGTTGATAGTAAATTCTAACGATTCAAAGGATAACACTGTTGTCCTGCTGATGAAGTCTGTAAAGAGTTGTCTGTGAGTTCCCTGTTAATCGTAATCTTATATTTTACTGACCCTTGCAGGGGCTTCCCTCTGTGGCTCCGTGATGTACCGGGCATAGAATTTCGAACAGACAATGCACCCTTCAAGGTATAATTTGAGCAAGAGCAACTGTCTTTCATTTAGTCATGTATGGTGCTTTTTCCTTGATGATTCTTAATTCATTTACGCTAGTCTTTGTTTTATGTTTGTGATACAAGGAGAAAAGCCAAAATTTTGTAATAGTAGTGTAATTAAGAGTTGTGAGACTATAGTCCTGTCGGTAGGTCTTACCTTGGGGCCCTTGCACCTTGGACAGTCTGAAGACAATGGTTCCCTATTCTGGACTTGAATTTGCATGGGGTCATGATGTATGAAGGTTTTTAGAACGCAAAACTAGTGCACCCACAGTTGAATGTGGGCATTATAGAAAACCAAACTAGTGCACCAGTGGCGGAGCAATTTCTTTTCCAAATTCTCTATGTCCTTCATTCTCATTACCCACACCAATTCCAGCTCCTCTATTTTGGCCATCAGTTTCTCTCTTTTATTCCATCAGTCTCTCTCCAAAGCAAAGCACCAAGCGGAATATTAAAAATCTTAGATATCAACTCTAAGCCTGTATGCAAGAAACGCTAATCCCCTTTTCGTGTTCAGTGTTGTTCTTTCTGCAAAGTAAGGTTTTTAATTTAAATATATTTTTTTTTGATAAAAAAGTAAGATTTTTAATTTTGGAAAAAGAAATGGTAAAAAATGAGAAGGATTATGTTAACATTAATGGATTATTTAAGAAAAACACTCAACAGCATTATGAGGTTATCATGCAACACTCCCAAGAGACGAAATATTTAAATTTTATCAATTATAAATGTATTCAATGACAATATTATTAATCAATATTTAATTAATATATTTATTTTTTGGTTTTTTATTTTTTATTATTGTATTGTTGTTACTGGTTGCCCCACTAAAGTAAATTCCTGGCTCTGCCACTGAGTGCACCCTACAGCGAAATTCTAGTAGGGGAAGTATTATGAAAAACATTGAAGGTTTAGAGAAGGAAAAAGGCGGTAGGATTTAGAAGCGTGGAGGGTTAGAACGGGGTTGAATGAAAGGTGATAAGTTGTTGCCTATTGGAGTTGGATGGAAATGTTACTAGAATTTATTGACAACAAGTATTTGTACGATTTTGGGGTCTAACTGCCAAAAGCCACATAAAAAGGTTAGGGTTATGCAGTCTCCAATTCTCTAAACTTGAGTAGCTATAAAAACTGAATGAGTGCACTAATATTTCTAGGATGCTGGACATTACTTACTTTTTCTAGGATTAAGACTCCAGTATTTGGAACTTCAGAAGTTTGCTTGTAAGACCAATCTCCTATTCGAGGCCACATATAAGGGCCCAAAAACCCATCTAATCTATGGTTCCGTGACTTCCATCTAGAATGTATTGCACTTCTATACCTATGTTTAGGGTGCATCATATGGGACTCCTTTGATGCATTTTAACTTTTTCATTTCAAATTTCCATTTAAAGAATTGAATTAAAACCACTAAAATTTCTTCAATTGCAAATGTGGGGTTCAAGTTTTTCATTTAGTCTCTGTGAAGTCTCAGAGTCAGCATTAGGTATTGTTTAGTTTAACAAAAAATAAATACCTTTCTTGGAAATGTATGGATATTTTTAAAATAATGATTTTAGGGATCTCATTATGGATATGACAACACCACTTGGTTGGTTCTATTATCTTCTTTCTCTTTTACAGATGGGACGGTCTATGTGAAATTAGGATAAGAACATGCTGTCTGAACCTTCTTGCATCAATTCCTGTTGTATTTTCTCTGATTGTGATCAGTCTGATCCCTTAGGGGCACATTTTTTTTTTGACTAGTTAGTTTGATTGTCTGGTTGTTAATTCTTCAATATTTAATGGTATTTTTTTCTGATTGTGATCAGTCTAACCCCTTAAGGGACATTTTTTGACTATTTAGTTTGATTGTCCGTTTGTTAATTCTTCAATATTTATTTGAATTATCACTCCAACTTTACTTCTTTTTCTATCTAATATATCACATTTTCAGCTGGATTTCATGTATACTACTTCCTAGAGAAGTGCTCAAAATTTATATTTTTCTTTCTCGTTATAGTGTGTTCAGTTTTCAGTATTATAGGTTCATTGCAAGTATTACTTGGCTATCAAATTGGGTATGTAGAAACATGTTGCACTTATGTTAATAACTATTAAGTATGCTTTAGGAGATTGGAACTTTTAACTTTGTATTTGTGGTTATGGTTGACAATCTGATCATAGCCTGTTTTGTTTCCAGGAGGAGATGCAGCGGTTTGTTAAGAAGATAGTGGATCTGATGCTAGAGGAAATGCTCTTCTCTTGGCAAGGTGGTCCAATTATTATGTTGCAGGTTGTTGAACAATTCTTAACTTCATTTAGTGCTTGAAATAGATTTGCTGGAATAAGTATATCAAGTTAATGGATATAACCGTGTTTAGAACAGTGCAATTTGTTGACGACTAAAAATACCTAGACTAATTGGGTGTGGGTTCTTCCTTAATTCAGTGGTATTAGAGGGGTGAGATTATTTAATGACCAATATGCTGTTGTTCAAAAAACATTCGATTTCCTTTAATTAGTTCGTTAGTGCTCAGAAGTTCAAGTTGGTACACATTTCTGTTATCTATGCTTGAGGTGATACTCTCTGCAAATAGCTTTGCCTTAACTTGGATGCAATCTTTGCAGATTGAAAACGAATATGGAAACATGGAAAGTTCTTATGGCCAGAGAGGGAAGGACTATGTTAAGTGGGCTGCTACAATGGCTATTGGGCTTGGTGCTGGTGTTCCATGGGTCATGTGCAAGCAAGTGGATGCCCCAGAATTCGTCGTAAGTTCGTTTTCCTTAATTATTTTGCATTTCATTTTCTTTTCAATGATTCTATATTATTTAGACTCCATTCAAACTACAGAGCAATGAAAGAAAACAAATTAACTCATTGGTTACTTTCCAAGAAAAAGAACATAGAAAACCTAATTCATTGGTTGATTGGTTAACAGAAGTGCATTTGTTTTGTAATTAAAATCTTAATGTGTTAAGGCCATGACATTGAGGATTATAAAATCTCAAACATCTTTCTTTTCTTTTTAAATTTTTTCTCATTCACAGATAGATGCCTGCAATGGATACTATTGTGATGGATTTAAGCCAAATTCATACAAGAAACCAGTACTTTGGACAGAAAATTGGGATGGATGGTATACTTTTTATTATTTCAGGGGGTTACTTCTGCACATCTTATTATGTATATCATTTTTAGTGAATTTTGACTCTACATGACTTTCTTGAAAACTTGAGCAAAATTTTTCAAATATATGAATAATATCTGAGAATCAATTCACAAATTAAATTGTGGAATATTAGAAGAAGAACAGAAAAAGAAAAGAAAAAGAACGAAAATGAAAAAGAGCTTGAGATGTTGATGTTTGCACTCTGAAAGTTGACCATATTTTCTAAAATATTTAAGTTACACTCATCCTAATTACTGGAAGCTTGTCTAAACTGCCATGAATGCCTCTTCAACATACAAAGAAAGCCTGTAGCATTTTCTAAGGAACCTTTTAGAAATTTCTAAGTAATAGTCACCAACGGACAAGTGGCCTAGCGGTATCAGCCTCTTACTCACCAAAGGGAGGTCAGGAGTTCAAGTCTCAAAAGAGACAAGTGTGTGTGAGTACCAACTAGGAAAAAAAAAATTCTAAGTTATAGTCTGGAAACGAGATAATATTTGATGGAAAATGTTTCTTAAGTATCTAGAAAAATGATGGCCCCAACATTTTGTAGCATTTGAAGGAAATCTCTTACTTCTTGAGGTTTGGGTCTTAACACAACAGTAAGATTGCTCCATTATGACCTGGAGGTCACGGTTTCAAATTGGGAAATAGCCTTTCCTCATGCAGAGGTAACACTGCGTTCAACTGACCTTTCCTAGGACACACTCAGTCTGGGAGCCTCATGCACTGGGATTGGGATTGGGCTAGCCCTCTTACTTCTTGAGTTATTCTTTTCTTTACTCTGCTTCTGCACAACTGTCTGCTTCTTAATCTTCCATATCGCATGATTTTACATTTCCTAGTCAAATTTTTTTTCTAACTGGGTTTTCAGTAAACGGTCTGCTGCAGCAATATCATTTGTTAAGGCTAATTTCCCTAATTTGTCTATGTTTCTCCTAGTATCGCCTGTTTCATCTTTGAGCGAGACTTAATCTTTAATGTGGCTATAGTTAACTGAATCTCTTTTCCTTGGACAGAAACCAGCCTTGCATTTGCCGAAGTGGATACTTCTCTAATAGCTTTAAGAAAGCTCTTTCTGGATAAATATATCCTTCATTGATACAGTCAAATTCCCTGTGATAAATTTATGGACATTCTAATTAAAGAAACAGGTTCACCAATAATTCTTGTATGTTGGTTAAGTATCTCTCGTTTAGGTTTCACATAAGTTCTTTCAAGGCTTCATATCTATGTCTGGCATTACTTCGTCATAAAGACACTTTAAAGGTTTTCCAGTTAACAAATTAGGATTTCTGGATTATGTTCCCTCTTCTATTTCTGGCACTGTATCCCATTTCCTGTTCATATGTAATTTCATCAACTCATCATGATTTTTTCTTTTTCTTCAAAATTTTAGCCACACTTTTACACATGATTTTCTATTTTAGTATTTAATTGAAATGGTCTAAATCCGTATGTGTTTATGTAAGTAAATGAGTTTCTTCATCCTAACATCAGCTATAGAAAAGCTATAATGATTTGCTGTTGACTACCATCTTTTCTTTAATAATTTTTCCTCCATTGAAGGTTGTACTCGGTTGACAACTTGACATTGAAGATACTATTTCTAAGTTTTAGTTCTATATATTATATGATGCTTCAATGAATGTCAGCCTTCTTATTTGATAGAAATTCTTATTTTCTCTCTCCCTCCCTCATTCTCTCTCTCTGCCATTTTAGATCACATTTATTACTTGAAAGCAATTTCATCTCTTTTGGCATGAGAATTTTTATCTCATGTACTTAAGCAGCTGCAAGTTTTTTGATACATGCTTATAAGCCTTCAATTCGTCTTTCTTGGTTTGCTTTTGAAGGTATACAATTTGGGGTGGAAGATTGCCACATAGACCTGTTGAAGATCTTGCATTTGCTGTCGCTCGGTTTTTTCAACGTGGAGGGAGCTTTCAGAACTATTATATGGTATCTAAAACAGGCTACTGCTTTGCTGTGGAATGTTAAATGAGCTCTAAAGTGCTTAGGGAAAAGAAAAATGAGCTCTAAAGTAAAGTTCAATTAAAAAGTAACATTGAATCTATGAAGAATGTGTGAGCATTTTTAGCATCCAGAGTTTTGGTGTAATTAGTTATATGTTCCGTAATTTCAGTTCCGTAGTCCTTTGCTTGTTTTATTCCACTTGCCACCGAACCTTGCATATCTCAGAGGTTTGGTGAAAGAAGTTAAACTACCATACAAGACTATAATTGGGGATGTTTTTCTTTATTAAAAGCCATTATTCAGTTATGCTCCTACTGTATGGGATGCAGGGAGGGTTGATTGGAGATAAACCTAATCCTCGACATTATTTGTGTAAAGTGACTGCAGACATGAACCTGCTTTTTTTAATATTATTTGGATCTATGGAAAATTTTATTCTATTTTGATACAATTTGCGATGAAGACCAAATTATGATCTACACATGCAGCATATTGATCAGCCTTGGTTTCCCTGCTTTGTGGTTGTAGTTTTTTGGTGGGACAAACTTTGGTCGGACTTCTGGGGGCCCAAACTATATCACAAGTTATGATTATGATGCTCCCCTTGATGAATATGGTAAGTTGAATATTTATTTTCATTTGATAACCACAGTTGATTGACATATAAATGACTTGCATATAAATCCTGATCCACATAAACTTTCTTTTTTGTCATTTAGGATTGTTGAGACAGCCTAAATGGGGACACTTAAAGGATTTGCATGCTGCCATAAAGCTCTGTGAACCTGCTCTTGTTGCTGTTGATTCACCTCAGTATATAAAATTGGGACCAATGCAGGAGGTTTGTGTGAAGCCTAAACTTATCAACAGATTTTGCATGATATATTTAACTATTAACTGCAGCATTTCTTAGCTTGATTATCTGGTCTGAATATATCAGAAAAGATGACTTCAGAGTAAATGGGGAAATTTAATTAGTTTATTTATCTCTTTCTGGGGCCAGTTTTCCAGCACAGCCCAATCCTGGAAGTTCTGGGAAGGAGTTTTGACTTGGTCACGGTATTTCTCATCTACTAAGATCTGAAAAGCAATTTTTTAAAATTGCAGAGATGGGATGTGTCTCACAGATTTTTTTTTTGGTTTATGCATTTTTTTTTTTTTTTACTGGTATTAAGTATTTCTATTGGTTGGTTGACTAGTTGCATTTTGTTATAAAGTGGATTGGACTGATAGAGTTTGTCCTTTCTAAAACCATTTTCTACTTCCCTCATGCAAACCTTTAGAAAATACTTCCAGTCTAGCTTGAAAAGATAAACAAGAGGCTTAGGTTTGAAGTAATTAAAAGTCACACTTTATTTTTTAACCACATCAGAAATAAACTGATACCCTTTTGGGTGGGGGGTAGGGGGGAGTATTTTATTTTTAGGCGTGATTAAATACAATTTGCTGGTAATGTTATAATGTAGCGGTCAACAGTAGCGCCTAATAAATTGGGTATATATTGTTTATTGAAAACCTAATTTTTTCTCAACTTTACACGAGGTTAAGTAAAAAGTTACTCATTCAAGCTATTTTGAACACAATAGACTGAGTTCAAATACTCAATTGGCTAAATTGATTTCCTTAGCATCCCAATACACCATTAATTATAAGGCTATAGGCTGACCTAATATTGCTCAAGTATATTAGATTTCTAATTCTGCAATATTGTTTGGGAGTGAGACCAGTAATCTGTTGTTTTTTTCTGGAGTAAGGGACTTTTGTTTTATTGCTTCTCACACACCTGTGTCCTGGTAGTGAGTCGAACTTTGCTCCTCTTCACTAGGAGTAGCAGGAGATACTCCTCAAGCTGACAGCTGTGGTGATTGTAATTTGAAATCTTATTTTCACATTGTTTTCTATTCTTCAACTTAGAATTTAACACCATTCATATGGCTAACTTCAGGCACACGTGTACAACAGTGAAGGCCAGACCTTAACTTGGTCTGGAAACAATAGCAGGTGTTCAGCATTTCTTGCAAATATCGATGAGCATAAAGCAGTCAGTGTGACATTCCTTGGTCAAGCATATACTTTACCACCGTGGTCAGTGAGTATATTACCGGACTGCAGAAACGTGGCCTTCAATACCGCCAAGGTTTGATTATAGTTGATATGTAGGACAGCATAATATACTTTTTTTCAATGATCTTACTGATACATCTGCATAAACAAACACTTCACATACGTTCCATAAATCACATCAAACTGCACAACTATATCCATGTTCACAAACCAGATTATATTTTCCACTGGTGAAATTTAACAGAATCATGGGATAATATTTCTAGAAGTTTTATTTCATACAGAAGTAACATAAAATCCAATGGTTCTTCACACATAATAGTCAATCTCACATAGAATGAAGGAAAAGTTTTTCGATTGAGTCTCGGCACAGGAGGGTTAGAAATTTATACAAAATCACCTAAAGAAGTTGTTTAGTTTTACGCCCTGAGTATCTTGCAAATGATGTATAAATTTAAAATCCTAGTTAATTACTCATATTAGATGAATCATTATCTTAAAATAAGTACTTTGGTATGCTTATTCTCTATGGCTTACAAGGAAACTGAAGTGTATTAGATATCTTATAATGTGATAGGTAAGGCTTTCTGGACATTTGTGAATATTTCTCATATGATCTTTTATTTCTGTAGTCTTTTCACTCATATAAAGATTAACGAAACCCGATGCAATATTTCATCTCATTGAACACTTACTATATGAAGACACTTTTTCTTATTGATCATGGCACAAGAAATTGATGCTGGAACATGCAACTATTTTCTGTTTTTGACAATTGGCCTCATAAAATTGCAACCGATACGGTGCAGTTTTTCGCTCTTCTTTTTCTTGCCATGCTTACTGATATGATAACAATAACAGTTCCAAATAGTCTCTGAAACTTCAACATGTGTGATCCCGCAGATACTATCCGGTTGAACATTTTCAGTTGCATCCCAACTGTTCTTAGTTACCTGTTCTTTTTCCTTCTTTTCTTTATTGAGACTTGAGAATAATATTACGGCAATAATTCTAAGTGAGCCTGTTCTTTATTAAGCATTCAAATTATGATGATAATTCTAATTTGTATGTTAATATTATATCACTCGTGTTATTGTTTTCTATGTTCTTTTGTATTTCATCTTATGATGTGTTTAGAGCCCTGCTTCCCTAGACTAATTCAAGAAAAAAATGTAAAATTTTAGTTCTGAATATATGATTAAGTTTCTTGCTTTATATGTTTGGAGCAGGTTGGGGCACAAACTTCAATTAAAACAGTAGCATTTGATTTGCCTCAGTCTACAAATGTTTATGTACCTCGACGACTTATGATTCAGAATGAAGTTCCGCATATCTCAGAAGCTTGGATGACTATTAAAGAGCCAATTGGTGCATGGAATGAAAATAATTTCACTGCCCAAGGCATACTGGAGCACTTACATGTGACAAAGGACCGTTCTGATTATCTGTGGTATATCACCAGGTACATCATTATTGGAATCTTACGATTGGCTCCATTAGGATCGGGTTGAATAAATAGTAGTACCATTTTATGATTAGAACTGTGTTTCAATCTGTAGTTTGTATTTCTTATCATTATAAATGGTAGAAACAGAATGGTTCAAGTGAAATGATCAATCTTATGAGATACAAAATCCTGACAGGCATTCATCAATATTTTACCGTCTTAACTCTATCCATTGAGATAATAAACCCAATACTGTCATTAGTCCCATTGAACTCTAAATTCAGGCTTATGGTGATAGAACATAAGTTTTCATGAAATCAATGGAACATGATTACAGGTAATTGGAAAAATAAATTCAGATTACAAAGTCAATGTAGGTTGATGGGGAGCGAAAAGGTGGCATAGGCAACCCTAGAATGATGCTGACTCAACAAAGATAATAGAAACACACACACACACACATAAGGTGACAAAGCATTTGAGAACGCATTAAAGTTTTGAGTTGAACATGAGAGTTTCAGACTCAAGGTACAAGGAATGAAACCTTATTCCTTGCCAGGTGATGTTGAAGTAAAGCAGCTGAGAATAAGGAAACCCTTGTGGACCTAAATTCAAAGTAATTGTCCCCAGAGATGAGAGACTGCAAAATCAAACTAGGATTTCAAGAGTCTCTATAGTGTGGAGGGGCTTTGTCAGATGAACCTTTTATCACTTCTTGCAGATGGAGGTGGTCAGGAAGAAGAGGTATTTGAAGAGATTACACCATAACCGTCCTTTAGTGTCAGGGTCTCTAGGATTTGAGAAAATCTGGTGATACCTTTCATTTTAAATCAGATATTAGTGGTTCACAACAGCTCCTAGGATCATGGGAGGATCCAACTGAGTAGATGGACATTGGACTTGTACATTTCTGTTGGTAGTACTTGGTATCAATACACCATGCTCTAACACCTTATTCTGCAGTAAATGGAATGAAATTTCATTTATTCTCATCATGGCAAAGCCCACAAGTAACCATAAAGTAGAAGACTGCAGAGATGATAGTACTCATTCAAAGTTCGATACATCGATCGCAAGAACGTATTAAAGTTTTCCTAGATAAAGGGAATAGAATTTAAAAAACAAAAAAGGATTCCTATATCCTGAGATTCTTCTTTGCTGAGTTGAGATTATAATATCCATATTCTGCTTATAACTAAATACTTATTCGGTTACAGCCAAAGGAAGGGAAATCCTGTAATGTGTTTTCCAAATGCTCCGACGGCATGGATAAGGCAAACCTTCATTACCAGTATTTATTGATTAAATTCTCCTATCTTCTTATTTCTTAAGTTAAATAACCATGGCTGTTTCTTTACTAACTTGAAACATTTTCAGAATCATTTGCTCATTTACATGTGGTCCACTAATGCCTGGTCATTGTCTAATTGACAAGCAGAGTTTATGTTTCTGATGATGACATTTCATATTGGGAGGAAAGTGAAGTTACTCCGGTACTTACAATTGAAAGCATGCGTGATTTGGTGCGCATATTTGTTAACGGCCAGCTCACAGGTATGTGCCTCTACTCTCGCGTATCTAACCGTCAATTGTTTCTCCTCCTCTTCCTCCCCCCTTTTTCTTCTTTTGAAACTGGAATTCGGCTCATCTAGTGGGCTCATCACGAGTGTATATGCCTACTTGTAAAGGATCCCAGCCCAGATCACATATGTGATCTGTCTGATTCTGGCCAGATGTAGGAGGAACGGTCCAATTTGTAGTGTTGGTACTGTCAATTAGTACTATAGCACTACTGTTCTTTAGTAATGTTGCAGTTACAACTATTTTGTAGTCTAGTTACCATTCATTGTACAACAAGAATTATTTGTGCTGGTCTCTGTCTCTCCTCCTCAGTTTTTAGTTCTTTAATGATGTTTGCTGAGATAAGGTTTGGTTAGTGGCCATCTTTTATTTCTGTTGGGATTTAATGTAATATTCTTGTAAGTAATTATGAAAGCATTGTGTGAGATTTTTTATTATTACCTAAATTTTGCCTTTGGCTATTTGATCTTTTGAGAACATTTAGATTTGCTTTGTTAGCACCCTTATAGGAGTTTTTCCTTTGTTTTGTTCTAAGAAAATAGGCTTCAACATTGATGAAGAACAATTTTGTCATGCGTCACTTGGTTGATGATCATCTACAACTTCACATCAAAGAAGATTGTAATGGTTATGAGAAACTAAGATACAGTAGGAGTGGGTACCTCAAAGATTTGATTATCATTTAAGTAGAAAATGATATGGAAATTTTGATAGCAAAGCAACTCAACAAAAAAGCCTTTTTCCTAACAACTTGGGGTCGGCTACCTATATCATATTTTTCCATTATGCTCTATCTAAGGCCGTAGTTTCAGTTATACCACATGTTATCATATCCTTTCTTACTAACTTCACCCATGTTCATTTCGGTCTTCCCCCTAACATTGCCCTCAATATATACCATGTCACTCTCCTTAGCTGGCGTACGTAATGGTATTCTTTGTACATGTTCAAACTATCTTAATCAATTTTTTCTCATTTTACCTCCAATTGGTGCTACTTCAACCATTTGAAAATGTGCTTATTTCTAGTTCTATCCTTTCTTGTCTTGCCTACATTTATCTCAACATATGCATTTCCGCCGCACTCATTTTATGCATGTGATGTTTCTTAGCTGCCCAACATTTTGTTCCATAAAAAACAGCTGGTCTAATTGTTTTATAATACCACGTACTTCTCTTTCAGTCTCATAGAGAGATGCCTATCACACAATATACTAGGTCACTCCTCCATTTAACCCATCTTGCCTTGACTCTATGATTAACATCATCACAAATTTTTCGTTGTGAATAATTGAGCCCAAATAAGAAAATGTTCACTTTTTGTACCTCTTGATCCACAATCTCCACGACATCTATATATGTAATTCTAAAAGTTACATTCCATATATTCAGTTTTATTCCTACTTATCTTGAGTCTTTTAATTTTGCTCCTCTCCAAACCCTCAATTTAGCACTTACTCCTCTAGTTTTATCAATTAAAACAATATCATCTACAAATAAACATTTTTAAATATACTAGAAAATAGTCTCAAGGAAGAAGACTTCAATTGAAAATTGAAAAATCCTTTTCACCATGGTGGACATGATAGTGCAGCAAGGAGGAAGGAGTAAAAAACGAGTTTTAAAAGTTTATTTCATTTTAAATATATCACCAATCTGTGATGAGTACCTAGACAGCAATGAAGTGAGACTTTCTCATGAAGTTATTAAATATTGGGATTTTGGTCTTTATCCAGTTCGATCAATATTTGGATGTTTGTCAAGTGGTAAATGAATTTTTTTTTTTTTTTTGATAAGTAAGTTGTAAATGAAAATCCTAGACTTATTTTCTAAGGATTGATGGTCAAACCATTCTTGCTTCATGGGAAGCCCCACCATTGCTCTATGAAGTTATTGTTGATCGTATGAGTTAAGAGTCATGTTGAATTTTTTGATGATATTGAAAATTTGAAATCCTTTTTGAGTGGTAAGGCATTGGATTATGAAATTTATTTGGATTAATAGGAGAAGTGTAAATCTATCAATTTTTTGGAGATTTCATGGAAAGTAGACCAATATAACCCCTTCAGCGGACACAGAAGATAGGGCTTGCTTGTCCATTTGAAGAGGAAAAAGCCTTAAATTTATAGTTCTTGTAATGCATAATGTGCTTATTCTAGTGGAGTGGTGAAGAAGGACAGGATGGAAGGATTTGGAGGGCATCCTATGGATTGTGGAAAACCAAAATTCAACAACATATTTCTCCCAATCTAGTGGGTTCTGATGCAGGAGGGGCGATCTCAGTAATTTTTTAAAAAATTCTTGGTTGATCTCAGTAAATTCATTACATCAGTACTTCTAAAATACCGCTTTTTATTATTGCGGCACAATTGTACGTTATTGCTTTAGCAAATATGTTCATAAGTTATTGTAACAGTATCTATTTACGAGTACTGGAGTGTGTTATTGTTCACAATGCTGTAGTGTGAAACTGGTCCCACTACACCAAGAACTACACAACAATTTTTTCTTTTATCCCTTTTTCCTTGATTTTTATTTGAGTTATAATGAGATTAACATTGCTTAATTGCTAGGTTTTTATTTTATTTCGGTCTTGTGTAATGATTTGTAGACATACACATGTATTGACTGTTGAAAAGAACAAGAATGTGGACAAACCTGAAAATCAAGACACGTCAATACAATTGTGCGTATATATGTACGCATATATATGTATATATACATAGAGTTGCCGGAATAATCAGAAGTGTTGCAATGTTTATTCCATTTTTTTTTTTTTATTCCTGTATGTGTCACTACCCTTTACTACTTTAATTGACTCGATAGTATGGTTTCGAAAGTGAAGGTAGTGCAGCTGGTCGCTGGGTCAAGGTAGTGCAGCCTGTTCAACTTGTGCAAGGATACAATGATTTAGTGTTATTATCTCAGACAGTGGGCTTGCAGGTAATCGATTTGCTTCTTTCTCAAGCCTTACGATAAAGCTAACGGTATTTTGGGATGTAAAATTTGTGTGGATTACTCGTTCACGAATGGAATGACTTCTCTTATGAACCTATCTAGTAGGCTACTTGGGGAATAGGAAGGTGAACTCCATGATTAAATTCCATATCTAATATGATTTGAGTTGTACCTCCTGGTGTGATTCTATCATTAGCTTTTGTTGGCCGTAATGCCTCTTGTTGGAGGGTCTTCTTAATATTCTTATCTGTGTGCTTTTCTTGAAAATTACTTGCTCAAATCTCGTGTCAAATGGTTCTCGATGAGAATTTGAATTCAACTTTTCTTTTTATCATATTATACAGAATTATGGTGCCTTTTTCGAGAAAGATGGCGCAGGATTTAGGGGCCAAATCAATCTTACTGGGTTTAAAAATGGTGATATGGACTTGTCAAAGTCATTATGGACCTATCAGGTACTTTTCTCCACTATTGCATCATTACTGTCTGCTGTTTAGATGCTAATATGAAATTAGCAAATCAGCTAGATTTCCATTTCATTTTATTTTGTGATCCAAAAATTTAGTCATGTCTTTTTTGAATTGCGTATTATTGCAACAAATTTAACACTTGAGAATTCAGGCCTTTACAAGCATAATTCAAATTTTTGTTTAAAATGGAACCGTTTCATATACATTTCGGAAACATTGTGGAAATGAGAGAACATGTTGGACTCAGTTGGAAAATGTGTATAGACATTTGGAAACATGAAAGAAACCATACCTTAGCAGAATCCATAAGCCTAAAGTTGTGCTGAATTGAGTACAATATAAGGTTGCTGCATACAAGACAAGAATGGGGAGTTGAAGAATGCACTGATAAACACCAAAACTAAAACATTGGTCAAAAACATTTTAAGTCTAGAAAAATGTGAAAAGGATTAATAGAAAAAGATAGATTATAGACTAGATATATGAATCAATTTTGCTTGGATTCGGGTATCATTTGTTTGTATAGGTGTGCATCTAATTGTCAAATTTATTCCAATCCTAAGATACAAGGACATGGCTGCATACTCCTAGTGTCCAAATCCTTTTCTTCTATAGTGCTGAGGCAAGACAACGTATTTCAACTAAAATGACAATTCCTTTCCCTTTTCCTTTGGGAAATTAACATCACAGTGTTACACTTGATTTAACAAAAATTATACATCACAGTGTTACACTTAATTTAACAAAAATTATACATATGATACTTGATATGAATTAGGGATGTGTTCAGATTTTCTTTATCTAGACTGCCTTTGAGGCGATTATGAGGATTCAAAATTTGTAGGTTAACCCTCCAATTGGGTTTCCAAGGAATCTAGGGCGAACATCCTAACATAACACTCTATAAAATTATCTTACTCCAAACCAAGTGCTCTTGTCAGGATTCTCTTTACTATTTTGTTGATTTTTATTTATTTTTTAATTGCTGACTGGATTAGGTGATCATTTGGAAAGATGGTCTAGAGGCTGTACATTTGTTGGTGGTGATTCTGTGACTTTAAAAAGTAAGAAGCAAAATGTTGTAGAAAGGTCAGGCGCTAGTAAGCAGAATACAGATTTGTGTCATATACTGCACACAAGATGATGCCACTAAAATCTTTTTCTAAAAAACTTTGGGTCTTTTGTAAAATCTGTCTGAAAATTGCCAATCTTTGTACGGACACAAAAAAAAAAAAAAAAAAAAAAAAAAAAAAAAAAAGAAAAAAGAAAGAAAAAAAGAAAAAGGAAAAAGAGAGATAAAGGTCCAAATAATTACTTAAAACTTGTACCAATTGTGCATTCCCAACAGTTCTAATGGCATTTTGGATCAGGTGTTCGAAAGCTTTTCTTCTTAGTTTTATACTTCGGTTTCTCGCCTTATTTGTCTACCCTGATTATATTGGGCAGTATGACACCTCCATCATGAGTTTTATAATTGTCTTATTTAGCTACCCTTGGGTGTCAGGAGACCTTCATCCTCAGTTTTACTTCTTATCTTGTTTGGCTACTTTGATATGATGACGTTATATCTTGTGAAATTTAGCATTTTCAAGGTTCTGCTCCTTCTCTTGGTGGTGTATTAGTTACTGAGTTTTTCCCTCCCTCCCTTTTTGACCATAGATTGGGCTTAAGGGTGAGTTCCTGGAAATATATGCCGTGGACGAACATGAAAAGGCTGGATGGACTGATTTGACACCTGATGCAATTCCATCCATCTTTTCCTGGTACAAGGTGAGTCGATTCTGTTAAAGACTTCATTCTGCGAAGCCAATATTTGAAATCTGTTTTTGGTTTTGTCTCTTCTAATTTTTCTTGTAGAACAATTGATAGCCAATCACAAGTTCATTGTTAGTTGACTCCATTTAAATTTCTAGCATATTGATTAAAGCCTCTTACAGTTTCATAGCAATAGAACATTGTTTTTTACATAATAAATGAGTATGTTTATGTGTATGTGTGTGCACCACTCCAGGTTTTCTGATTGAAACGGAGTTAGTTAATATCTATGATGTGTGTGCATAATATTGCATGATAATATCTTATTGTTACTTAGTTCACCTAGATATTCATTCTCGCAACGATATAGTCGGACAAGATCTGTAAACACTAATGTTTTTATTCCAATGATTTATGATATAAACTGCCATCATTTTCACATTATGAATTTATTCTCTTGGTTCACAGCGGGTACTATCTTGGTCCTTAAAAATCAAAATAGCTTATATCGTTCACCAAGAATCAAAGTGAAAATGTTATGGAATGTAGCATACAGTTTTTTGTTTAAAAGAATGTGTTTCCAGTCATAGAGTGAAGAAATGCAATTATGCAATAGAGTCGGATGTTGGGACTAAATGAACAGGTTAGGAATGATTGGATCTAAGGCAACTATGGCTGCATTCATCGTAAACCAGTTGTCAATTGTTGCTGTGGTTTTATATAATGGTCTTGATCACTATAATGGCAATCAGAAATTGTGCTGCTGCTTCCTTTTTTTCCCTTCTTCGAAGAGGGAGTTTTTTTCCCAGGAAAGGGTGGATTGCTGAAAAGACATGTTCTGAACCCTAATTTCTGAATTCTGATGCTTTTGTTTGTAGTAATTTTCTTGTTGGTATTGAAATTCCGTATTGAATATTTTTTTTGCAAGCAGAAAATGCTATCTATTATTGGGTTTTCATTACTTATCTCTAATTATAACCTGTATAACAATAACTAAGGCATTACCAGTGTATGCCCTGCCTACGCAAGATGTTTAGGAGAGAGAGACCGGTGACAAAACCTTTGGCATTATTCTAAACAAACTCTCATGGATACTTATAATTATTTATTTATTATGTAATTAAAAGTATAATCAATTAAAATGTAATAACTAACTAAATATGTTTATATCTTGTAAAGTGAGTTTTGCTTTTATAATCTAAGTTGTCTTCTGCTTTAAATAAAGTAGAACTTACTCTCTCTTTTTTGCTCTAATGAAGTAGAACTTACTCTGAGACATATGTAAGAAGAAATCATTACTGAAAATCTTTTAATTTACCTAAAGAAGTAACATTGAATAGTATTTATAATTAGTTTAAGACTTATAGGAAGGATATTTACATTTTTATTTGAACTCTTTCTATTTATACATCATAAACAACTCATTTGCTTAGTCAAATTAGAGTGACATAACTTTTTCTTTTTCATATTTAATCACATATCTATGTTTTACAAAATTGGGTACATGTGTTTGGTGTTATTATGTGTGTAATTTATCAAATCCTCAAATTCAAATCAACATTGACATGACTAACATTTATATTATTTAATATTCGTTTTTTATTTCGTAGAATAAAATAATGTTTTTATGTTACACTATAATAGAGTTTTTCATATAGGCATTTTACCCGTTTTGAAGTATTGTTTTATGTAACTAACTGAGTTTAATGGACAATTATATAGAAACTTGAATAATTCAATAGGCTTGTTAGGTGCATGTCAAAACGACTTGTTCAAAGCATGTCCATACCCATGTCTATACTTCATGGTATTTTTTAAGAGAACGTAATATAGGTGCTTGCATTAAAAAGTAGAATTATAAAGTATTCTTGCTTATAGAGGCTTAAAATTCAATATGAAGTTCATCACCTGTACAAAATTATTTTTATAATTTCAACAAATATTAAAAATCAATAGAAATCTATAAACATGCATATCTGTAGATTTAGGGGGTTGTGCAACAGATAAGAGAATTCAGTCTGTTACAGACCTCTGCAACCAATAACGCCACAACCACCATTTCCTTCTTTGAAAAATCTTGGTTGATGCAGACACTTGCTTTCTACTGCACATATCTAGTTATAAATCTGGTTTCCAATTCATGCAGACACACTTTGATGCCCCTGATGGGACAGATCCAGTTGTTCTTAATTTGGGAAGCATGGGAAAAGGCCAGGCTTGGGTGAATGGCCATCACATAGGAAGATACTGGACTAAGGTTGCCCCAAAAAATGGATGTCAAAGGACTTGTGATTATCGTGGTCCTTACAATTCAGGCAAGTGTGCAACAAATTGTGGGCAGCCTACTCAGATCTGGTATACTTCTTTCTTTGTAGTAGAAAAGTTTATATGTTCTAGTTGACACTATCATTTTCCCAGTTCTCTTTAATGTATGAAAAAGTAGTGTAAGATAGCTATATCAATCCAATGTTCATTCCATTCTTATTTTGAGGCTGTCCTTTCCATCTCCAAATGCATAGTCATCAAGTAAATGGGGTGTCAAATGCTGCCAAATTAATGTAGCCATTATTGATCATTTGCCAGGTACCATGTTCCAAGGTCATGGTTACAGACATCAAACAATTTACTTGTCATGTTTGAGGAAACAGGAGGGAACCCGTTTGAGATTTCAATCAACACACGTTCTACCCGAACCATTTGCGGTCGTGTGTCAGAGTCCCACTATCCACCTCTTCGAATGTGGTCGAATCCAGATTTTATCAGCGGAAAATTATCAATCAATGATACAACTCCAGAAATGCAATTGCAATGTGAAGATGGGCATACAATCTCTTCCATAGAATTTGCTAGCTATGGAAATCCGCAGGGTAGCTGCCAGAGGTTTTCTAGAGGCAACTGTCATGCACCCAAATCAAAATCCGTGGTAGCTCAGGTAAACGTGACCTACATTAATGTGTTTAAGATACACACTGTGGCAGCTTATAGGGGACGCATGAAGACTCTAAATTGTTGATGATTCTCGAAAGTTATTGAGATTAATGTGAAGATGAGCTATATTTATTGATGTGCATATCAGCCCGAACTCTCTGTGATTTGACATGCACCCAACCACCACCAAGTGTTGTTGCAGGCTTATCTGGGAAATGAGTTTTTTTTATTGATGCTCTATTTACTGATGTGCATACTGATTTAATCAATAATTTCTTATTTGTTCAGGCTTGTCAGGGAAGAAACAGCTGTGTCATTGGAATTTCTAATGCTGTGTTTGGAGGTGACCCATGCCGAGGTGGTGTTAAAACTTTGGCTGTTGAGGCCCGATGTAAACCAGCATCAAGTATTGGTTCCCTGGCAATGGAGTGACGAGCAGCGGATTCACAGTGAACAGAACTCACAACCTTGAAGCTGTTAACGTGACATGACCCTCCTTCACTGGATCCCATGAATATGTTACTCCGGTTGACATTGTACACGCAGTTTTTATGTTGCAACTGTTTTATGACTCCAGCTTTGGGGCTTGTACAGATATTGAAACTAAAATAATATGCGACATATATTCCTTACAGGTTGTCTCTAACTCACGGTATTGTCGTCCAATATACTTGTTTGGAAAATTTCACAAGCTGGTTTGAGTTGTACCTAACCTAATTGATTGTGTAAGAAGGTTGGGTAAGTGGTATGGAATGGACAACTAGTGCAGTAATCAACCATAAAACAGTTATATAGGTTTTAATTCAGTAGAACTTGAAAACACCAATTTGTTTTTGAAAATTGAATCTCACGAGAAAGAGATATATTGGGAGGACATTATGACACGGTACCCAGTGGCCAAAACATAATCTTTTAAACATCACCACCACAAGGTGCTTAATTATAAACCACTCTGTGATTATACAAATATAATCTATGATTGTGGTTTTTAAGGCAATATCATAATTCTGTGCCAGTTTTTGGTACAAAAAGCAATGAGACTACAAAGATGACGTCAAGAATCAGAGTCAAGATTAGGACGAAGAGTCGAATTACTTCATAACCATGGTTGTCATAATGCACCAAAAAGAAAATATCACACCATAAATTCAATAATCATAATTCAGTAATGCATTATGATCACTGCAATGTACAACGCTAAAATACCATAACTCACGCTCCATGCCTTTGTTTAATAAGCCAAGCTGAAAATACCACATCAATACTCAAGTACCATGGAACGATGACTTAGTGGCATTTTTCCTCCCCTTGCAGCAGCTCTGCATTTTATCAAGCATGATTAATCTAAGCATAATTAATTGAGGAGATGACCTAATAATTTTCCACTGCCACCTGAATTATTGATGAAAAATCAACATGTCATATTATTATAAACATAGTGTCCATGTCTTAAGACTCTTAACCCCTTCCAGTAAACAACAAAAAGTACACAAACCATGCTCAGAGTTGGAGTGAAAAATGTAATCAAGACGCAAGGAACAACCATTATGAGAGCAGTGAAGTGGGCATATTAGAAATTTCCTAGCAAATGTGAGATGGAGTCACAAATAACAGTATACTCGTTAAAAACTGACGAAATAACTAACGCGGTATCACAAAACTGTCTGATCACTTTCAACAAGTGAAACTTTATACTGTATAAATCTTATATGACTTCTGGCATTTGCCACCTTCAACCAATCAGAAGATACAGTACAACCTCATACAACGGGAGCGAACCCACTCCATTGCCTTGGAAGCAAAGAATAAAAACTAGTAACAGCTGCAGGGTACCCTTCTTCCTATACGTAACTGATTATGCCACTTTTTTCCTCAAGCATATATATAAAGGTCACTGGTATAGATATTTTAGAATAAAATACCCACTTCTGTAAGTTACTTCAGACATTTGATCTTTTTTGTGGCATCCATAATGCTTTGGTTCATCTCAGAGTGTTTCAATTTCAATAGTTTCTCGAGCTGACGAGAAGCTTCAGGAAAACGATCCTCCTTTATGCAAATCCCCCCATTAACAGCAAAAAGAACTACATTGACATCTTCCTCAAGCTGAAGGCAAAAAAGGTTGCTAAAGACCTGATGATAAAGAAACACACCACAAATTATTTCTCACAACTAAATAATAGTAAACACAAACCCCAATATGCTGAAATCCAGAAAATGCAGAAAAATTGACACAAAATCATCCCAACGAAGTGAAAGTAACTACATGAATATTTTTCCACCTTTCTGTTCTGGAATCATGGAAACTTCTTTATTAACAGCCAATTTCGGGGCAAAAGTGTGAGTAAAGCAAGTAACCACACTCATTGCTTAAATTAGTAAAAAGATATGACAAAAATATTAAACTAGTAAAAAGATATGACAAAAATATTAAAACCAGTAAACAGATATGACTAAAATATTCTTTGAAATACATTAGTTCAGTTCTCACCGCATTCATCCTCGAAATAACCAATTCCTTAATGGCTGGTGACCTTGACACCAAATTAATAACGAAGAGACCTTGCTCAGAAAGGGAATTTTTTACAGTCAATAGAAAAGACTCTTCCACGAAATCTGCAGCAGGGCAGGTCATACCAGAGCTGCACAACAAGAGAAATACACGAATAAGGGGGGTGGAAACTGAGCAAAAACCTGCATTCTAAACAATATATCTGTATTACAAAAAAGAATTAAACCAAAAAGTACATTTACCTCGAATCTGAAGAGTCCACATCAACTATAAGTATGTCAATTCTGTTACTCCCTCTGCCTTCTGCATGGGATATAATGCAGCTTGCATTGGAAGAAGGGACATTTTCATCACAGAGAGCATCATCATTTCCTTGGCCAACAGTCACTCTATTTGCTGCAGTATTTGCAACCTCTCTAACAAACTGAATCCCATCCGTAATGTGTATCTGGGACAATAAAAAAGAAACTGAATGGTATGAGCATGGTACAGGTAAGACATAAGAGGAAGGATTTTTCAATCAAAAGTAATTATGAGGTGTTAATGCAAATTATTCTTCTACTTTCAGAAGATGTTTTACGTCCTATTTATTCCTTTCATATCCAGTAATAAATTTAAGCATTACTTCTCCTTTGTCATAAAATACTTCCTTTTTCCCCCAGTGTGTATTTTATTTTTTGTATCAGCAGCTGGCAGAGAAACTTGGAGCAGGAGCCAAGAAAAGAGCAGCCTAATCACCCGAGTAAGATGCAATTTACAAGGTTGGTGAATGATCAAGCATATATTTCAGAGGTTTTTTTTACCTCAAATTCATCACCAGTACCGTCGCATCTTGGAATTTTACCTTAAGTAACTGGACCACAACATATTAGTGTAGCAATGTCCAATAATCCACTGCATGCCTCCTAAGAATGGCCAATCTGACATAATGCTTCACCTAAGCTAGAAGCATCAAGAGTCAAAATGGATATATTACAGCACCACAGCCCTCATTCTCCAAGAGTGAGCCTTACAAGGCAGTTCATCTTGCAAATGTGTTCCTCAGGCCCAAGCCTGACTTACTACCTCTCGTCCTATCTTCTAAGACACTTAAAACCATAACGGGACTAAGCCAAAAGACAACTAGACATAAATATTGTACTAAACGTTTTTGTTTTTTTTATAAGTCTAAACTAATTAATAAACACAAATAACAAGATGTCAATCACTAGCCACGTAAATGGTGATGATATGGTGATACCTCATGCTACACAGAGAAATCAGTAAAGGGAGAATGAAGGACAAGAATCAGACTTTATAATGGTAGCAAAAGTGAAAATTCAACTGATAAAGTTAAAAGCAGGCAGACAAAGAAGATTCTGATGACAGTACTTGTAGGTTTTGAGAATGATTAAAGTATTAATGTTCAACTACGTCAGTCATCAGGACTGCTTTAATCTTCATTGGTCAATGGTCACCAATACAAGTTCACCGACTACCGTCAATAGTACTATTTGCTAGCAGTGTAAATGGTAGGGTAACCTGAATGAGTGTCTTATTCTGTGATAGTTTTAAGACAAATTTTATTAAGGAAACATGTGAATTACCTTTAAGTGTTTATCTTCTCTGAAACCAAAGTAGTTCCTCGAGAGATCTAAAACAATGGAATCTAACTCCACCACCTGCAATATGACAATTAGCCAGATTTATTACAGATTGATATGTATCATGAAAAATGTTGTGAAACCATAATTTACCTCGATATGTAAAAAGGGCAAGCATTCATGGAGAAACATAGGAAGTAGACCTGCTCCAAGACCAATTACAATCGCTTTAACCTGAGAAAGAGAAAGATGCAACTTCTAGTTTCAGCTGAATAAAATTGAGCAAGCATGTATAGTATAAGACATAAAAGAATTACGTAGTTGCTTTAAAAAAAAAAAAAAATTTATTCATGTAGTTTCACATGGGAGCGTGGCCCAAAACCAACCAACAATTTCCCTCACTTCATGTGCACATTTACATAATTAACTAAAAAAATATTTTTTTAAGCAATTTGGTGAAAATGCAGTTTTCCTCAGTACACAGAAACCTGAAAACAAGCAATTACAGAGAATCCAATTATTTTGGAGCATAAAAATCCTAGTTCATAAATGTTTAGATCAAAGTAGTTTCCTCACCATTCTTCCATTTGATGCAGCACATTCCAAATACGGAGAGATCAACATAAACCCAGAAATTATCCCAGTATGATAAGAACTGGCTAAGTAGAAGTGATCAACTTTCAGATCTTTGGTCGATTCTATAGCAAGAAGAAGATAAGCAATAAGAAACCAAGACAAACAATAAAATCTAAATGAAATGACTAGAAAAATAATTGATCAAAACAAATGTTTTGCATATGGTTTGAACAAACGATTGCAATAAGTAGACCCGTGCGGCCAAATTCCTCCAGTGTCTGACTGGAAAATGCTCAATGCTAGATAATACAGGTATTATATTTCTGATATTGTAAAAACTCATAAAATAAAGATCAAGAAGAATAAAACATCTAAGCCTGAGATGTTTGGAAGATTTTAGCTTTGTTTAATCTAGGAAAGGCATCTCTTAACTTGAAGGAAACCTCAGGATTCGAGGTGTGCCCCATGAACCGAAATTTCCATTGTGGGAAAGGCAACTGGATTGAACAAAACAACCTTTGAGATACTTGTACCAGTATTCTTTTTGAACCATTGATATCTATTTTTTTTATAAGTGAGTCATTGATATCCGTAGAACTTCCAAATCTCAAACCTGCCATTTAGAGCTATAATTTGGATTAAGATGCCTCAATAGACACTTTCGACCTCAAAAACCTTCAAGATAAGCATCTTTAGAGCCTGGGCCGAGCTTTGTGCTTTGCTCAGGCAGGCCAAATCAAGGTCGGGGCCATATATACAAGTTTACAACTCAATGCACCACTGCACCAGCTAAAAACTTCATTGCCAAGCCCCACCCTCCCCGTCCCACTAACAAAAGAAAGAAAGATGAAGAATATTAAGTGTTTTCATTTTTTCCCTGTTGCACTTTTTCTTTTCTTTTCTTTTCTTTTTTTTTAAATTTGGAACTCAAAAGGAGTTGATATATAATTGACAGCACCAACTAAACTTTGCTGGAATACTGATTGAATAACAAATTACCAATCTAATGGATGACCAATTGCCCATGCTAAGCAGAAGCTAATTATACAGGTTCACTCTTTTCCCTTTTAATATTATGAATCTGCAATGGTTGGATATTTGCATCGCCCATATTATAGGTATTCCATAAGTACAACAATTGATAAGAGTTATTTTAGTGTCATAGCAATTGCACAAGACACTTTCTCGGCAACAATTTAATAGCTGAGTATCCCTGAAAACTGATAATTGAGTGAATACATCCCCTCAAAACCCATCCCCTTCCCCAAAGAAGAAATTCCCAATGTATTTGTTTTTCTTAAAAATAATAATAAACCTGAATAAGCAGTAAGCATTTGTTAGTAGAAGGAAAATCAAAGACGAGGCATTACCATCCATCACTGACACATGAGAATCATTTCTTCTCTGGTTTCCTTTTTTTCTGGATTTGGAGGATGAGCGGGTTTTCTTCTGCTCTATTTCACCAGTACTACTCAGAGATCCTTCTCCTGTTAGCAGAGCTTCAGATTGCACCAAGCCCTCTGTTCTTTGGAAAATAAGTCGACGAAATATTAAATCTTTGGATGGAAAAAGGCGACTGAAATCATTATCGACTTCTTCATAGACAACATCATCAACAACAATTAGACCAGTCAAGGCAGATGTGACCTACAGAACACAAAAGCAAATAATTGCAGATTATGAGAAAACACACAATCTTTCAGAAAAAAATCATTTGTCCTAACTGAGTTAAAGGGTCTTGGTGCGATTGATATAACAATTGATGTAAAAACCTCCATAACTGTAAATGAAGCCATTAAAAGACACTATGGCGTACATGCAATATGGATAAAGATTTTATCACAGGTAACTTGGATATTATTTGTGAAAATTTTGGAACAAAAGCTAAAGTCCCTTGTGCTTGCATTAGCATTACTTCATATAACCAGTGCTCATTTATAATATTCAAGGCATGCTGAAACAAAGTGGAAATGATAATTAAAGAATAGTTGGCAATTATACGACTGAAGATATGCCGAATTAACAGAAATCCCAATGCCAAGGATTCAACTCAGCATCCAAGGATAATACGAAGTAAAATTTCAATCAAGTGTGAAGTGTTCACTGTGATTTTAATACCATTTTGTTCCATTAAGCAGTTCTGCCTATGAAGAAAAATGTATGTTAGCTACTGAATGCATCCATGCGCATCCCATTTACAAAGATATAGGTGGCAGTATATGATGATGTACATGGCTACATGCCATGTCAACAAAGGTTTTATCACCAAAAAACTAAATCTCATTCGTAAAGCCGTTGTAATATAAGGTATACCACCAGCAAACTTGAATAAGTATTAAAATATCAACGCTCATCATAAAAAATAATTAAAAAAAAAATGATCAAAACATGCTAAAGGTGTGCAGATGCTCTTAAACATATGTTTTTAATGTGAACACAATAAACTCCAAATACAAATTGTTGTAAAATTAGTGTCATAGAGTTGTACAAGACCAAAAAAAAAAAAATTATGGCAATTTTTATGGAATCGATTGTGCTTCTCTATTTTTTAATAAATAATGAAAAAACATCATCAAGAAGCAAATATTTCATGAACACGGGAACTTACTCAAATGGAAATAAAATTTTAAATATTTAAGATAGCTTTGAACCTGGTTAACAATTTTCCTTTGCTTGATTCCGTCGCTTGCTGCCATAAACCTGCAAATAAAACCAATCCAGAAAACCAAATGAGTAATGCAGCAATACAAAGAATGCCTCAGCATAAGTAGAGGCCTGCAGTTTTAAATATAAAATCCACCGGCGTGTGTAATGTATAAACGATGTTTTAATGAAAGAAATATTCCAGCACAGTTACAACTATACTTTCATTTTCTTTCTGATAATTTATAGTGCCACCCGGTTCGTAAGAGCATAATAAAATTTTCCCTTTGATTCATGCTTGATTGTATAACAATGTCAGGACTCATGAGTACAATCAATGACAATCATTGAAAGGAGGGTAGTAAACTAGAAGGAGCGTCTGATGCAGCAAAGGATACTTCCAACACAAGGATCAGTATGGCCCCACAAGAACATTCCAAGTAGCACGTCTAGCAGCCAAATAACGAGTATGTTTATGAGACGGCACCTATATCACTGTGTCATAACTCTAGGCCGTAACCATGGGTAGTTAGCTTGAGCGATCGAGGTTCATGTCCTGACTCAAACCAGGGCGTGGAGGGGGTTGTAAATGAAAAATAAAAAAATAAAAAAGATAATGTTCCCACATAATTTTCTTGTTATAGGAAGTATTGTATCACAAACTGCGGGAGATGAGGATGAAATTGATGATGGTGAAAATTTTCAAACCAAAAGAAAAAAATGGAAACATGGGTGATTATGATACAAAATAAATTAAGAAACTTGTCCTAAACAACCTAATGGAAAATGTAGGGAAAAAAAAAAAAAAAAAAAAAAAGGCAAATGAAACAAGTAACATACGGAATTTGAGCTCCAATGTCATCTTTTGCTGGTGCTAATTGTTTAACTAGAGGAGATAGGTCCTTCTGAAAGAGAGAACAGGCAAAAAAGAGTACCAGTAAGTTCATCATAACAACCAGTTGGAATGTTGCAGAGATGTGCCTCATCAGTATCAGAACTGAAGGAAGATTTTTTTTTTTTTTTTTGATAAGTATCAGAATTGAAGGAAGATGATACCTGAATTTCATCCATGCTGGCATTTGAGTGGCTGGTATCTAGGAAAATCTAAATAAGCAAAAAATATAGTTCAGATGCTCCAATAAAAAATTTAGACAACAAGATTCTCCTAAAGAATATGTGATCATTAAGCTGCAAAAAGGTACCATTATTAACCGAGCTGCCTTTGACCTCTCAACTATCAGCCATTGCCCTTCTTCCGAAGAGAAGAGCCATTCATGAGCCCGAGTCTGAAATCTAATATTCAGTTACATAATTTAAATTGAAAAATAATATTAACAATAATAAATAAATAATAAAATTGATAGTTGAAATAAAATTTGAGCACATACAAAACATAAAAGAAAAAGTAAGTGCATTCGCCATAACTAAAATTTCAAATTTCTATTAATCGGTAGTGCCATCTAGCATTTTGAAAGGCACTTTTTACAAGGCAGAAAAGAAAAACATACTGCAAACATCACAAAGAAGATAACCAATTCCGAGAACTAATAAGTAAAATTCCATGTCATCCACCCAGTAAGTAATTGCAACCTAACTAAAGAAAATACCAGAGCATATGACGACTTTTACTTATCAAACAAATAATAATAGATAATAAAGAAATAAATAAAATAGCAATGTCCCAAGTAGACTTCAGAATGAAGTTATGAAAAATGTACTACTTGTCAACATGAAAAGCGACCAACTCGATCTTTTACATGACAATGAATTAACCAGTCTAATGAAGAAAAGAATTAACCAGTCTAACAAAGAGATATAAATTTTAGAAAATAGCTTGAGATGTTGTAAAATAATTTGAAGAAATGATTGCTTAGATTTAACAACTAGGGTCTTTGATTAATTGTACATAGAATTACCCAATATTTAACTTGTGTATGGTTTTCATTTTCAATGAGTACCAATTAATTTCTTGTGCCATTATATGGTAAAATAGATGTAAAACTGTCTGTGTTTCATATGTATTAATATTCTTAGTATCTGTATGATGAAATTTTGACCTAATAAATTTCTCAGGAAATAGATGGAACCCACCGCTCCAGTCAGATGAGAAGGTTTTCACATTCTATATTGAACCAGATCAGATAACTGACCATATCTAGGAAATCAAAGCCAAGTAAACTTCCGTCTAATTTCACAAAAGATGATGCCAATACATTTTTTCAATGAAAAAGGGAAGTTTTCCTGTTGCATTCCATGGTACTAAAGCAGGCATGGTGAAACTGAAACTAACCTTAGGCACAAGGAAAACACCACAATTATAGGAAAAAGGGTCAGACTTTTGTTGAGCATCAAGAAGTACAGCTCTGTAACAGAAACGGGAGACCCCTTGTTCACCCAAAGTAAACTGGGTCCGACGACCAGGGCTGAGCTCTGACAGATCCCCTTTAGCTCCTAATTGCAGATCTTCAAGTGTGTACAATATATCGGAACCATTGGAGTATTCTGTACGAATCCTGTTCTCATTTTCAAGTGCTTCGTACAGTCCACGAGCCTAAAAATATCAACAGTTTTACTTATCAAAAATATATACACAGACAATTTCTATCAAGCTTTCAACATATTTTTTTCATCAAATATTTCAGATGACTAAAAGTTAACGTTCAAGGTGAACTGTGTCAAATTATATTTACACCGTAGTGCTATCTTGCTATAACAGCTAAATGTGTCACGTGAATATGCGGATAACTTTTAACTTCTATGTATAGAGATCTCGTGGAAATGTCATAAATACTAAAATGAGATCATCTATTCCTCAAATTTTAAAAATAAAGAAGCAAAACAGAAAAGGTAAACAAGTTCCTTTACCTGGTGGCCATTACAATTAATAGAAGAATTATTGAATGATGATATTATCTGGTGCAACATTGTAGATCTCTCTTTCTCAGCAATCACCATGAAGGTTTGTAGACTGGGCTTATTAGATGGTTTCTGAGGTATATAATGAAGAGACAATTTCCACCCATACCGAAACTTGGGAAACAGCAAACCTGAGAGGAGAAAAACAAAGGAAAATGATATCTATCCTCAGCACAAGCAGCAGAGCAAGTAATAAAAAGATTTGAAGTAGAGACACTAACGCCAAAAACAATACGATATCACCTGATTTATTTCACACGAATCATCTTAACTTAGAACTAGTATTTTTAAACTGAAGCAAACCGAGAAAGAAAGCAATAGCAAGTGCAATTTAGATTTCCCACCACTAACACAAAGTTGAGATAAGCAATACCTAAAACATGAGTTTCTGCCAAGGTAAGACATATGAATTTCCCCCCAGCTCTTAAAACTCTCTTAACCTGGTGAGAGACAAAACAGTCACGTAAATCCAGTATAAGATTTAATTATCCATTACTGAAGATTTAATTTTTGAGCACATACAACAAGTAATATGCAAAACACTGTACTCAAGTATGAGTGCAGGACACCTCTGACAAATATTGATTCCCGAGTTTAGACCCAAGCTTTGGCTCCATCAAAGCATCCAATCCTCCCTTGTCAACAACAGCGTCAAAGGTCTCATCCATGAACTGGAAAAGTAACAAAAGTTATACAAACAAGAGATATGAGATCGAGGGAGTGGTATAGCTTTCATCTTCAAGGATTGAGCTGCAAAAACAAGACCTGAAGTTCTCAATAACTCAACTCCATAAATAATACGAAGTATGACAATATATATAGGCTCTCTACTCTACCTTTTATAAGGCTAGGACTTTAAAATAGGAAATTTCAAACTTTTCCTCCTAAAACCATTGTGGCTTACTAAAGGTTCCATAAAGGACCCAATAATTTAACTTGCCAAAAGCGTAACTACAAACCATGTGCAGCAAATATAAGAATTACTTAGATACTTCTAACTCCTAAAACTTAATATGCACACACAAAACTATACCAACAGCATTCTTATTTAAAATAAATAGAAAGCACGAATCCCTTTAGTTGGAATACAGAAACTTGTTGTATAATGTCCAGGACAAGTCATTTCCATGTTAATTTCTAATATGCCTTGTTTTCTCATTAATGTACTCTTCTCCAGAGAGAATGGGCATGGACTAGAGAGAGAACTTCACTCAGAGACTACACTCCTCCTATCACTTCGTCTTCAGTGATAGCTAACAATATAGTCCCTATTACTCACCTTCATGCAAATCTTCTGATTCCACATTAAAACTATACTCCCTATAACACAACTCCTTCAAATCTTCCAATTCCGTGTATATCCAATCCTAATCAAAATTTACATTTCTTCACATCTCATCTATAAAAACCATATCATTAGCAAATGCATTCAATCAAAAAATAAACTGCCAGAGCAACATAACAAAGTGCACAAAACACCAAACTGCTCATGACTAAATGAGTCCAGCCATGCTCCTTTAGTATATTAAGGATTAACTAATAAAAATACCCTCACATGACGATCACACTGAAAATGAATCAGCTATTCTGGACCTAAAAGGATGAGTCTTTGTTACAGTAATTGAATTGCATACATACATGTTCATAGTTAAGACATGATTTGTAGGGCTTTGCGATTTCATATGTGTGTACACAAAGATAGAGGAATTGAAAGTTGATACATACTTGCATACTGGTCATATCCATCACGCGCCACCGCATACCGGGACGTGAGCGCACATTTCGGCGCAGCATATCAGAGATAGCGACCTTAGAGAAATCAATATTCGTGATGTTGTGAAAACCGGCATCGTATAGGTGCTCGGAAAGTCGGGAATTGCCGCAACCGGGGACGAGAATCTGCACCGACGCTGCCTCCGGCGGAGGTGGTGGTCCGCTGGCAGCTTCGGGTGGTGGAGCTTGATCGGTTGATAGGTGTGAGAGGATATGGTCCCTGAGCTGAGGCCACTCGGCGTACCACTCGAAGGAGTCGTCGGTGCCTCTGATGGTGAAGAACTCATCCCAGTTCTCTTTGCTGGTGAAGTCTTCTAGGGTTTTGAGTAGATCTTCTTGTTTCTCTCTCTTCCCCATGTTTTGTCTCTCTCTCTCACTCTCTCTATATGCCTTCTGTCTGTGTGTAGGGTTTTTCAGTGAGTCAAGAGGCAGATCAAGAAGAAAACTTCTGCATTTTTTTTTTTCTGCTAGTTCTTACTTAATAAAATAATATTTTTTTATTTAACAAAAATAATAATAATAATAATAATACTAATAATTAAAAAAAAAAAAAAAAAAAAAAAAAAAAAAACAAACAAACAAACAAAACAAAACAAAACAAAATTAGATAAGTGGAAAGAGCAAAAGCATACTCCGTCCATAATACTATAAAAATAAGTATAAAACACCAATTGAACATCATAAAAAATAATATAAATAAAAAAATTAACTTACATAATTTTCAAAAAGTTTATATTTTATTGATGAAAAATTTATTTTTTAAATAATGCACAGTTACAGAATTATTTTTTTTTTTCTCATTCAATAGAAAACTAATAACTTTTCATATTTTAAGTTATTCCCAACAATTATTCAAAAGTTGTGTGCCAATTCAGCCGGTTTTATTAATTTATCATATAGAAGTCTTAAATGATGAAAACTAAAAACGAGTTTGCTTGGTTTGTAACTATTAAAAATTGTACAAAAACACTGCTTAGCTCAATTTTTAAAAAATTATTTTCTAAAAATCTGATTATAAAAATGTTTGTTTAAAGATAACTATAAAAGAATATTTTATGATAATAATTTTATGTTCTATAAATTCTTGAGGATTATTTTTAGAATTACAGATCACAAGAAAAGTATAACAATATGGATGATGGAGTCAAATGTACTAAAAATCTAATTTTGAAAATAGTTCATAAGAATTTAGAGAATAAAAAATTATTTTTAGAAAATTATAAAAGACATTTTTCTAAAAACATATTTTTTTTTGTGTAATTTTTCTGATTTCATAGTTTTTTTTTTTTTTTTTTTTTTCATACATTTTTGTCAACGCTGAGCCTCGAACCCCTCCCCTCTTCTTTGAAGATGGGGAAGTTATACCATTAAGCTAAAGTCCCTTTGGTTCTGATTTTAAAGTTCCAAACTAAACAAACTCTAATTTTCGATCAACACCAAATGTGGTAATGATAAGTGAAGCAGCGTGAAACTAAAATACCCAAAAAACAATTAGCTCGGTGGTGATCCTGCCGCTGGGTCATTTGAAATGCCATAATTAGATCTACTAGTACTGTGGATATGGGAAAAGTTGAGATAAATGAATGGGCCTTCTAAATTGAAATTTGGTCGGGCTTGTTAAACAAGAATGAGATGAGCATAGAAGTAGATCATGGGCTTTTAGCCGGATAAAAACCTTTGGGCTAAGGCCCACTGATGTGATTATATCTACTACACAAGGCTCAAAATGATAGCACTCCCACTGCTCCAAACTATAACTCCACCTTGGAGTTTCTAAACTTTTCAAGGTATCTGCCTAATCCGCTTTTGAAATCACCAAGTTATCTAGTTGGTAAAAAATTCAATGCGAAGGGCAACTTTTGAAAGTTAACGAGGTTATATTTCCAAGGGTGGAAGTGGAGTTATATTTTGTGATATACCAAAAAGATATGTGAACTTCTAATTTGGGTTTGAAGGAATATTAAAATGAAGAAAGTTACTTAGATTGTTGTTTACAAGTGTCGTGTTTGAAGGAATATTAAAATGAAGAAAGTTACTAAAATTGTTGTTTTAAAGTCTCTGTTATATGAGTAGTTAGGTTGCTCTCTATATCTGAGAGTTCGTATTTGAGCTTTACACCCTCCATTTCTCCTTTATCCATTAACCCTTAACATTATTGCCATAAAAAGAAAGAAAAAAAAAAAAAAAACCTTAAATTGTAGTTCATTGTTGTGTGATATGAATATTTTTGATTAAATACAACCCAATGATCATGAAAATCCATCGCCCGGTTGGTCATTTTTTATTAAGTTTTTGCGATTCAAATCGACTAACTTGTTTTAACTGTGTCAGTATCAACGTTTGGACTTATAGTGATACAAACAACTCATGCTAAGTGTTCCGCATTATTTAATGTGCTATAAACGTACTTATACATATTGCATGCAAATAAGCTTGATATTAATGCCAAATTAGAAAGAGCTTTGTGAACTAATGCTCCATTATGTAGGAAGGAAAAAAAATTGAATGGAAGGGAGAGAAAAAATGATGAATGAAACATCCCTAGGGAAGAGATTAAGCGTTTTCCTCTTTTTGTTCGGTTGGATGAAAGAGAATGAAAAAAACTAACAATTTAATTTGACAAGTAGGTTAAAATGAAAGATAAATTTTAAGTTATTTTACCATTAAACCCATCTTTTACTTTATTTATGAGATTTATTAATTAAATATTTATAAAAGGTAATGTAGTAATTTAAAACTTCTATAATAGAGTCACTGTCTTCTCTCTTATCTTCCGCTCATATTTGGATGGATAAAAATTTGTGAAAGATTATTTCTTTCCTTATATCATCTCTATCGGATCAAGAAAATTTGTTCATGTCTTTGTGTCTTCCTTCCATGCCTCTTCTTGACTTCCTACCAAATATTGCATAAATAATTGTAATTATGTACTTCAAACTTTTAGAGGAGAAAAAGTAGCACCAAGACCACCAGAAACATCTGAGAAGGACAGGCATGTGAATGGAAGAACCCTAGAGAATATGTTCTCTTCCAAATAATTCAGTATAAAAAGCTACATTATTTCTCAAACTGAATAGCGGTCACATGAATGAAAGTGATGGAAGCCACAATTGCATGTTTGTCTCAATTTGGCTCTCCCCCACTTTTTGTTTGCAAGCTGGGGCAGCATGCGTCCATGAAATCACCAAAAATATTGCAGCTTCTAACTGATACATTCAGCTAGAGCCTTGGAAAGGTACTTGCATGTGTGAAAAGGGTTTCATCTATTTAATGCAAAGATGACAAAGGTGATAAAGTTTGGTCGATGGTGGTTACTACAACTTGGGATGATACTTTGCTGCCACATACTTCAGCATCATCAATAGGCGTGTGTGTGCACTGTGTGTGTGTGTGAGAGAGAGAGAGAGAGAGAGGTAGAGAGAGATGAATAGTCCTGGTGAATGGTGTGGCAAGGGCTCTTTTGAGAAGTACTTGGATGAAAAGTACTTGAATGCATTTTACTTTATGACATGTATGTCATCAGTTTTCTTTTTCCTGGAATTTGATTTCATTTTAATCCTTTTAGAGTCATCATAATTGACTGGTGCATGAATAATAAATTGTAGAACCAAAGCTTTCGTTGGCAAGAAGAATTACGAGTTTTCATATTTTATCATTAGATTGATACAATTTTTTTAGAATTGTAAAATTTAAATCAACTATTTCATACATTTTTCAATCCATGCATTTGTTAATTATCATGGAGAGTTGATGGTGTGTGTGGACATTACTCTTTAAACAAATACTCAATAGTCATGAATTTACCATATTTAACAACCGAATTAAAAGTTATATTGAATGATTCATTATTTGTCTTTTCGACCATCTTAAAAAAAATAAAAAATAAAAAACTAAACTGTTTAACTCTCTAGTTAAATTACTAAATTTATAGTAGTTACTGTATTCCTTTTTCTTTTTCTTTTTTGGTTAAAAAGTTACTATATTCCTTTCCAACAACAACAACAACAACCCAAAAAAAAAAACCCATAATTTGCATCTATCGAGTATCATCCTCTCTCATTTTGAATTTTTCCTCTTTTTATTCCTTCCTAATTAGTTGTTAGCATTTAATATATTTTATGAATTACAATCCTTAACTATTAATGTACATCCCAAAACCATTTGCAATAACCTCTCCGCAATTTTGCTCTCTAAATTAACCAATTAAAAAGTGAAAAAACCAAATTTTAGGGATAACCGGTCAGCAAAACAGGCCATTACTGTTCGGACCATTGCCCCTTTTTAAAATAAAAAATAAAATAAAAAAGTAGCCGTTGCAAAACGGCACCGTTTTGATTTTTATTTTTTTTTAATTCTATCTTTAAAATAACATCATTTTGAGTAATATTTTTTTAAAAAAAAATTAAGTAATCGCAGGCCGGCTCATCAGGGCTAGCGAATAAACTGGCGAGCTAGCAGACCCACTTCCTTTAAGCAAGTTCGATGTGGTCCAAAATTGGATCAAGCTGGCTAAAGCTGGAGATGGGCCAAGGCATTGTGGAAGGTTTTTGGAAGAATTTTTTTTTTTTTTTTCATAATTTACAATATTTACAACTTTGATAATACATCTCTGTCAAATAAATTGCTTGATACAATCAAAAAGTTGATGTTACTATGGTGTGACATAGAGATTATAGGTTGGAAACAAACAAACAATAATTTCAAGAAATATCCCTTTTAAGATGCAATGATATAACAAATGCATAACTTCTCCATATTGATAAGAAAATTAAGTTGACTCCAAAACCAAACCAATTTGGTTAAAAACAAAACCAAAAAAAATGTATTACTGTAAATTTGTGACTATTCCATTAATTCCTCTCATTAACTTAATTTTGTAATGGTCCATTAACAATCAACTCACTCACATTAGTTGTGTTAAGTCACCAATAAAAAGTGACAACCAAAAGAATTTCTTTCTTCTCATTAATTGAAATTATTACTGTCCAGTAATAATTTTAATTAATGAGAGGGAATAAAATATATATATATATATATATATATATAAATTTTCGGAAGGTATATGTATAATGTATTAAATTATGTGTGAGAAAATAGTTTTGTACCCATATATGTGTGGTTGTAGCAAAAGCAGACAAGAGATGCCGCAGAGAATTGAGGCCTCTCCAAATAGGAAAACGCCCAGGTCGCATTGGGAATCGGACAACATTGGAAAAAGTGTACAAAACACCTCAACCCCAAAGGGATACAATAGACCCTCATTGCATTAAACTTATTTAATCCTTCAAGATCCACATCACACGTGTTAAATCCTGGGCCCACCACCAACCGCCATGTGGTTCTCCCTCACAATGCCGAATCTCCCCAACACCATAATTAGTTACATACTCGAACACTGTCTCCACCATTTTCAGGAGTTTCTCTCGTAACAGAACTCTAATAAAAACATTCCCGTAAAATTTTATTTTCCCGAGAAAATCTATTATAGACAGAGAGAAAATGGCTGGGAATGAGTGGATTAATGGGTACTTGGAGGCGATATTGGACAGTGGGGCGTCAGCTATAGATGACCACAAGCCAACGCCTGTGAACCTGAGAGAGAGAGGGCATTTCAATCCCACAAAGTACTTTGTGGAGGAAGTGGTGACTGGTGTGGACGAGAGTGACCTGCACCGGACATGGATCAAGGTGGTCGCCACTCGCAACACCAGGGAACGGAGCTCGAGGCTCGAGAACATGTGCTGGCGTATTTGGCATCTCGCTCGCAAGAAGAAACAGGTCCATCTCTCTCTATATGTATATATGCATGTGAGCGACTGTTTATATATATCTAGAATTGGGTGATTGTCAATGTGTTTCTTCATTTTTCGGGGATTGGGGTTTCTCGAGTGAGTGTTTATACGTATCTAGAAGAAGCAGGTTCATCTCTCTCTCTATACATATATATATATTAAAATTGGGTGATTGTCGATGGGTTTCTTGATTTTTCGGAGAATTGGGTTTCCTTATGATCTGCATGTGTATGTGAATATACGTCATGTATGTGTAGTATATGTTTATTTATCTATATAGGTACTTATATGTATATGTTTATTTATCTATATAGGTGGTACTTCTGTGTATATGTTTATTTATCTATATAGGCACTTAGTATGAGTCGATGAGTGTATGTGGGCTTGTATAGAATTATGAGTATGTGTATTTGTATTTAGAATTGGGTGACTGTCAATATATATTAATAATCAAAAGATTAGGGAAAAATTAGGTGTAGCGCCTGTTAGCATTTTGAAGGAGAGGAAGATTGATTTGCATTTAACCTTAACGACAAAGAGGCCGACCTAAACTAAGAAATGATTTTAGGTAATTAAATATAATAGGAGATATGGTTTACGATAGAAAAGAGGGGAAAAAGAGAATCCATGTGCCCGACCTGTTTGTATGGGATAAAGGCAAGGATGATCTATATCTTTGTATATGTGTATTTATGTGTATGATTATGAGTTCTTAGTAGGTATCTTGAATTCCAGAATATAGATAGAGAGGAGGGACAGAGACTTTGAATGAGCTTTTTCATTTAATTTGATAGGTCTCTCTCTGGGTCACTGCAATAGGATGTACTCTGCTTTCAGGGTATTGGGGAGGTTGGCTAATGGGTTTCTTGTTTTTTATTTTTATTTTATAGAAATGGGTAAATGCAACTCTCTCTCTTTCTCGTGTGTCAATGAGGTCTCGTGATGTTTCTAAAAAGTTGATGTCTGTTAAGCGGTCTCTCTCTCCATCTTTCATATGTATCTCTTGATCTTCCTGCCAAAAAGATGAATTTGGTTGTTTTGCCGTGTACAGTATGTGGTCCTATTTACAGTTTCATTGAATTTTTTTTTTTTTTTTTTTTTTTCCTGTCTGGTAAAATTTTGTTGACAAAAACTTGTATATATCTTTGCAAGTTGCAATTTTTGGATATAGAGTGGGTTTTAAATGTTTAGTTGTCTTCAATTTTAATTATTTTTTGAACTACAGTATCTATGTTTTGAAGGAATACTGACTCTAATCAATTATTTGAATTTTGAAGATATTTTGCAATGGATTTTATTAGAGAGAGAGGGAGAGAGAGAAGATGGTACCTATTGTGTACAGTGTACACTGATAATAAAAAAAATTGGAGCGACTTTTGGCTCCTATAGTTTTCCCTTTATTTAGTTATATATATTTCTGATTAATAATCTCCGTGAGCAGTTGCACAAACATACCGTGTATCATGACGCTCCCTACCAACATGCATATATGATATTGCCGAATGAGGTTTCCATCTGCCAGGTGGTGCTATGACTAGCTTTATTTAGTTGCTGCATCGGTGTTTACCGCTAAATTGATTATGTGTTCAATTGTACAGAAGTCCTTAGGAGAATTCAGTTTCCATTGTGATGGTAGATCCAAAGTCCCAGTGTTCCATAATGTAAAGCAAATTTCAGGATTGCACAAAACATAATGCTGGGGGATTCGAGTTTCTGCTTGAGTTGGTCTACTTAAGTTCGTATTTTGAAAAGAAAAGTGTGAAATAAATGAATAATTAAAAATGCGTTTATAAGGAAATTTCTGTCTATTTTTATATGATTGAATATACAAGTTATACATTTATATGAACATGTATGTGTATATGTCATGTGATTAATCATATTGTCTTGAGTATAGTATTTTTACCCCGTCCAAATAGCCCCACCATGTTTTTTTAACTAATTTCTCCACCATGTTTTTTTAACTAATTTCTCTTCAGTAACTACTATCAGAGTTATATTTTTTTTGCATAGAGACATCAGAAGAGTGGAGGTACCATACCTATTGCTTACTAGAACTATTGCATCTCAAGAGAAAATGAATTATGCTTTGATCAATACCCTTATTTTTCAAGAGAAATACTTAAATGGCTCAAATAGCTCTTACCTTTTTTTTTTTTTGGGTGATAGTTGGAATGGGAGGATTTCCAACGGTTGGCACACCGAAGGTGGGAGCGGGAACAAGGGCGCAAGGATGTCACAGAAGACATGTCCGAGGACTTGTCTGAGGGAGAGAGAGGGGATGTTCTTGGGGAGGCAATTATAATCGACAGCCCAAGGAAAAAGTTCCAACGGAACTTCTCCAACTTGGAAGTATGGTCGGATAACAATAAGGAAAAGAAACTTTACATTATTCTTATCAGGTACAATTTTTTTCAGCGTGCCTTTTGCAATAAACCATACTGAACTGCTCACTCTTAATGAATTTCAGCCAAACTTCTTTTCCTAATGTTGATGTTTCATGTTGAAAGTTCTTTATCATCAGTTATATACTTTCTTTATGAGTTCAATAATTTTATTTAGCTTCCATTACTAAAGACGTATTTAAATTTGACTCTGATGAATAGTGACTTCCAAAAGTCACTAAAATGATATTTAGTGCTTTACTCAGATTAACCTTTAGAGCTCTGTTCATTTGCCAGGAATAAAATTCTGTTATTGTAGTAGTCCTGTCATGAATATTGACAAACTATTTATCTTTCTGGGGTGACCAATTCAAATTTCCATAAAAAACAGCTTTTATCTACCAGATTTCTTGGTGACTGCTTGAACCATCCACAGTTCAAGTCGTTAAACTAGCATCATATACCAACATGTGTACAAGTATAGAGATAAATTTTCTTGAAGTTGCTCAAAAGTCAATCTGTTTAGCCACTTTTTCTATAATTACTGCAACTCATCTTCTTGACCAGTTTGCATGGTTTGGTCCGAGGAGAACAAATGGAGCTTGGTCGTGATTCTGATACTGGTGGTCAGGTAAGTTTTGCATATTTCTATTAATATATAACTCTTGTTTCAAATATGTTTCTCGTCTTACTTGAGTTGCTGGTTTTCATTTAAAATTCAGGTCAAATATGTGGTGGAGCTTGCGCGGGCGCTTGCTAGGATGCCAGGGGTGTATAGGGTAGATTTATTCACCCGCCAAGTTTCCTCGCCTGATGTGGACTGGAGCTATGGAGAGCCCACAGAGATGCTTACTGCAGGCCCTGAAGATGCTGATGATGCAGATGTGGGAGAAAGCAGCGGGGCTTATATTATAAGGATACCCTTTGGTCCACGTGACAAGTACCTTCGGAAAGAACTATTGTGGCCTCACATACAAGAATTTGTAGATGGAGCTCTGGCTCATGTTCTTAATATGTCAAAAGTTTTGGGTGAGCAAATTGGTAAGGGCCACCCTGTTTGGCCATATGTAATTCATGGCCATTATGCAGATGCAGGGGATAGTGCTGCTCTTCTTTCAGGTGCTTTAAATGTTCCAATGGTTCTAACTGGACACTCACTTGGTAGAAATAAGCTAGAACAGCTACTTAAACAAGGAAGGCAGTCAAAAGAGGATATCAATTCAACATATAAAATTATGAGGAGGATAGAAGCAGAAGAGCTTTCCCTTGATGCTGCAGAACTTGTTATAACGAGCACCAAACAGGAGATTGATGAACAATGGGGACTATATGATGGGTTTGATGTTAAGCTTGAGAAAGTTTTGCGGGCGCGTGCTAGACGAGGGGTCAATTGCCATGGTCGATACATGCCAAGGATGGTGGTAAGTGATTGTTCTGGATATCTATATATACTCTCTCTTCCATTAATATAATGTGCTTTCACTATTTGCCCTTTTCACCTTACACACACACACTTTCACATTACATGATCTCCAATTGAAGCAATTTAAATTAATAATGCCTTTTGATAACATTCGTATGGTTTCAGTTCCCTATTCATGCCAGCGTTCTTAAATTAATGTAGCACAAGTTCAATAGATTTTGTCCCCCATTATCTTTTTTATGAATGAATTTCACAGTAAGATGCATCTGGTATCTAAAACAAAGCCTCTTTGGGGATGCATAAAAATTAAAACTTTAAAAATGGGGCTACGCTTTTGAATAAAATAAATCTAAAAGAAACTTTTTGGAATTGAATCTGACCATTTAGTCTAGAACCCATCACTCACTGTTTGTCCATGAAGGTTGGGTGCTGTGAGTGATGGACTGGGTATACCTAACTTTGACATTTGTTGCAAGTTACTTGTTATATTTGTGTGTTTCAATCCCTATCTGCCATGCCGCCATTATAGTATTAACTTTTAATTTTTGCAACCAGCTTTGAATGGTTTAAGTTACTATTTGTTTGCCATTACCAAAGTGGCTAACAACAACATTGGTCATGGAGCCATCTCAACGGCAAACAATAAGGATCACAGATAATTCCGTTGAATTTAAATTTATTTTATGAACCTCCAGAATAACTTCTTTTTTTTTTTCTTTCTTTTTTTCTTTTTTCAGTAAGGAACCTCCAGAATAACTTGTTAGTATTTTAATACTACTACTTCCATTTGCAGGTCATTCCTCCTGGCATGGACTTCAGCAACGTAGTGGCTCAAGAAGAAAATGCTGAAGCCGATGGAGAACTCACAGCACTGACTAATACTGATGGATCGTCTCCTAAAGCACTCCCAACAATATGGTCAGAAGTGAGTACAATATCTCTGTGTTTATTCTCATTACCTATGAATATCTTTATCAGTGTAGTCACCTCACAATTAAACTGTCTCTGCAGGTGATGCGTTTCCTGACAAATCCTCATAAACCAATGATTTTGGCCTTATCAAGACCAGATCCAAAAAAGAATATAACCACACTTTTGAAAGCCTTTGGAGAATGTCGCCCATTAAGGGAGCTTGCTAATCTTGTAAGTAAGCTGGCACGGTCACTGATCTACCCACCAGGCAACATATTTGAACACTATTAACAAAACCAACTTGTATGCAGACACTTATAATGGGTAATAGGGATGATATAGATGAGATGTCTTCTGGAAATGCTAGCGTGCTCACCACAGTATTGAAGCTGATTGATAAGTATGACCTGTATGGACAAGTGGCCTTCCCGAAGCATCACAGGCAAAGTGATGTCCCAGATATCTACCGCCTCGCTGCAAAAACTAAGGTACACTTAAGTTCACAGCTCTTAGAACTTGCTTTACATGGTTTTATGGTGATAACTCATTAAGCGATTTGAAATATGGCAGGGAGTTTTCATAAATCCTGCTCTAGTTGAGCCTTTTGGGCTTACCTTGATTGAGGTTGGTTTCAATTATTTACCCCTCTTTCATGGGTCATCTTGATCTGGTTAGGGAAGAAATTTTGAAAGCTATTTGTTTGGAACAATGCAGGCTGCAGCACATGGACTTCCAATGGTGGCAACTAAAAATGGTGGTCCAGTTGACATTCATCGGGTAAGGATAATCTTTCTACCCCCACAAAGCCACAACTTACACACCCCTCCCCCCTCTTTGGGGGCGCCACTTGCCAAATGTTGTATAATTTTTGTTTCTACTGTTCGGTTGCCAGTAAGAGAAAGGAAGAGGGAAAAAAAAAACCAGTATTTGACAGGAATAGTATGGGCTATAATGGGTATTGTTCCCTACCAAATAAAATAGAATGGCTGTTGTATATTTCTTCACCATTTTCCCAGCAACCAAATGGACGTGGATGATGCAAAGATAATGAATGACTTGATTCTTTTGGTGATATGACCTCTCATTGCTTTTTTCTTCTTCTTTTTTTTTTCTTTGCAATTTTAGGCTCTGAACAACGGTCTGCTTGTGGACCCTCATGATCAGCAAGCTATCGCTGATGCACTGCTTAAACTAGTATCAGAGAAGAATTTATGGCACGACTGCAGAAAAAATGGTTGGAAGAACATACATCTCTTCTCATGGCCTGAACACTGCCGTACATATTTAACAAGAGTGGCAGCCTGTCGGATGAGGCATCCACAATGGCAAACTGACACACCAGTTGATGAATTGGCTAACGAGGAGTCCCTGAATGATTCACTTAAGGATGTCCAAGATATGTCCCTTAGGCTCTCGATCGATGGTGAAAAGGCATCACTAAATGAATCATTCGACTATACTGCTGCAGCTAGTGGAGCTGAGCTGCAAGAACAAGTGAAGCGGCTCCTGAGCAAGATGAAGAAGCCGGAGACAGGACCACAAGATTCTGAAGGTGGCAGGAAATCACTTGATAATGTGGCAAGCAAGTATCCCATGTTGAGGAGACGACGTCGATTGATTGTAATAGCGCTTGATTGCTATGATAGCAGTGGCGCTCCCGAAAAGAAGATGATTCAGATACTGCAGGAGATATTTAAGGCCGTGAAATTAGACTCACAGAGTGCGAGATTCTCAGGCTTTGGTCTATTAACTGCTATGCCAATTGCAGAACTGACAGCATTTCTGAAATCAGGAAATATCCAAGTAACTGAATTTGATGCTTTGATTTGTAGCAGTGGGAGCGAAGTTTACTACCCAGGTAATTGTACAGAAGAAGATGGAAAACTGAGTCTGGACCCGGATTATGCGTCACATATCGACTACCGTTGGGGTTGTGAAGGTTTAAAAAAAACCATTTGGAAGCTGATGAATATAGTTGAAGGTGTAAAAGATAAGTCCACTAAATCTTCAAGTCCCATCGAGGAAGACATGAAATCAAGCAATTCCCATTGTGTCTCTTACTTGATAAAGGATCTTAGCAAGGTGGATGCTAGTTTCAAATGCAAGCATTAGCTCTCTGAAAAGTAGCTGGTTTCTTTAGTTAGGTAATAATCATGGTTGTTGGCTTTTGCAGGCAAAGAAAGTGGATGATTTGAGGCAGAAACTCAGGATGCGAGGTCTCCGTTGCCATCTGATGTACTGCAGGAACTCAACAAGAATGCAAGTTATCCCTCTCCTTGCATCTCGGGCACAGGCACTCAGGTAATATCTTGTAAATTATCAGCCTTTTAAACATCCCATGAAAATTTGATATTTTGCACATTCCCAGGGGAAAAAAATGTATCTTTGGGATTGTGTGTTTTGGGATTTAGAATGAGTTTCTTTTGTATGTGCGGCATTTGCATGACTATATTCGCTTCACTTTTTCAAATTAAGGATATTTTAGAATTTTAACAAGGTTAAATTATTAAAAAAAAAAACTTCTCATATTTTTCAGTCTTTTGCGACTAACTCCTTGAACTAAATTTCGTCACAAATTCCCAGAGTTCCTAGTGTTACTGCTGGTTCAAGTCTAAAAAGTTATGGACATGTGCCTTATTTTATTGGATGGGTATATGCAAATATGGAAGCTTAGCAAACCAACTTTGTCTAACTAATGGATATTTTTGGTATTTTATTAGAATTCTTTGCGTTTTAGTCTTCTTCTTTTTTCTTTTTAAATTTAAACAAAAGAAAGTAAAGTATATAACATATAACAATACTTTTGATAAACACAACCCCACGGAGTAGTTGAGTTGTCATGAGGCCTGTGGGCATGACCTAATAAGTCTTGTGTTTAATTCCTGTGGGCATAAAAAAAAAATCCTCCTGGGTTATCTGATCAAAAGGATTTGTCCGGTCCCCATGAAAGTGGGAACAATAATTTTTGATTAACTCTTTAGAAGATATGTACACACCAATTGGAGAAAACAGCTCTTTGGAGCAAGTTTAGGGGTGTTTCAGTTAGAGAGAGAATACAACAGCTTCCGACCAACCTTTTTTGGATTTTTTCCGCACACGGACGTAGACACGTGCCTTCGTTTTTAAGAATTAAGTACTAAAATGATTAACAAAAATATACGTTTGAACAGCTATTTAATTATGAGAAAATTGCTTTGTTACACTAGCATCAATGAGGTATCATTTACACTTTAAAATTGGTTTAGGTGCACAGTAGTGGAGAGAAATTCGGCACATATACTAATAGTACTCTCATTTTATTGTTTTCCGCATAGCGTTGGTAACAAGAAATCCTTCTGCTTGAGTGCAAAAGTTGGATTCTTTATGGATTTTAAGTGTAAAAACACACTAAATTTTTAATGAAATCGCCAAATGAAGACATCACTTTGATTGAATTGTCATGCCATTTTATCTTCCTAGATTGTGGCCTTAGCTTAATTTGGGATGATTCCAATGGATTGTGATTTTCGACAATCCCGTGATAATTCATTAGGTACCTTTTCGTCCGCTGGAGATTGAACGTTGCAAACATGTATGTGATTCTCGGTGAAACTGGAGACACGGATTATGAAGAATTAATATCGGGAACTCACAAGACAATTGTCATGAAAGGGTTGGTGGAGAAAGGGTCCGAAGAGCTGCTCAGAACAACAGGAAGCTATCTAAAAGACGATATTGTTCCGGGAGAGAGCCCACTAGTCGCATACACAGATGGAGTAATAAAAGCAGAAGAGATTGCAAATGCGATTAAGCAAGTATCAGTATCTGGTGGAGGAATGTAGTAGCACAAAGAAGCCTCTATTCTTTCTAGGAATGCAAATTTACCATAGCATTATTTTCTTTTTCTTTTGTGGCAGTCTTGAAGGAATGTGAGTCTCTGCTGAAATGAATTCTGACGATGATTCTCATTGTTGTGAAATGCTTTTGTTGTTAGATATGACGTACAAAACTTGGTTTATAACTATAAATTTTTCTCTTAGTAATTTAATTGGAGAAAAGCAATTTTGCCTAGAATTTTAATGGATTTGAGATGCATTTTCAACTGCTGTGCCAATGTTGATTGTTAATTGAAGAGGATTTGTGAACTGGATTTGTCCAAGGTTTTTGTTTTCAATATATATATATATATATATATTGTTTGTCTAATTGTATCTCCTCAGGTTACTCCAATTGGTCACATGTTAATGTCCAGGGATACGACATAGATATGTTAAAAAATAATAATATATGTAAAAAGTAAATTTTTTTACTCATTTTACCATTATAATAATGGATGAAATCACTGGCTTGAAGCTTAGAACTAGACGATTCTTCTTCTTCTTTTTCCTTAAATTTTATATTATTTGTAAACTTAATTCATAATATGTTTTAAATTGCATTGAAATTTATTATTTTGAAAAATAATAATTATAAAATCATCTCACTGTGTCCTAAAAGTGTTAAAAAAAAAAGTACTTTAAAAGTGTTATAAAGACGAGTAACTTTTATGCTCCGTTTAGTAGAAAATAAAAGATTTGATGAAAGGGAAAGAAGAATGGATGGATAATATATTTCCAAGGAATATATTATTTTCCCTACTTTTTGTGCGATAATATGGAAGAGCAATTTATTATGTTTGTTACGGAGAAGGAAATAAAAAGTTTTAAATTGTTTGTTTTTACCATTATGTTCGGTAATATCTACAATATTGTAATGTATAGACATAGAGAATAATATTGTAATTTAAAAATTGTATAATTTATAATAGTATTTGTGGAGGGAAAATAATTCCTCACCAACAGTAGGTTGACACATCAGTATAAGAGGGAACCACCAAAAAAATATGAAGACTATTAAACTTCTGACTTGGGCCTCAACATGGAGATTGGGCCGGGTTAATCATGCCCGATGGATTGGACTCAATAAGAGGGGCCAAATAGTGTGATTTCAAGCCCAATTACAATACATGTGATAAACCCATTTTTGGTAAACAATCTTATTAGAAGAAGGATTACTATCCAAGTATAACGAAAGTGCACTGTAATTAAGATTCTTGAGGGAAATTGCATTGTAATTGCACTGCGTCTGAGTAATAGACGGCAATTTCCTCCAATTTGGCGGGTTTCCACCCCACCTTCGCTCCTAATAAGGTGAATTTAGTGGCCCCTAAATAGATTTGGGATAGATATGATAAAATAATTGAAAACCCAAAGTGAGTTTGGGGCGGGGGCGGATTTAATGATAAATCTGTCCCGACCCTGCCCCGATTATATATGTACCTTTTATATATATATATATATATATATATATATATATGTATATATAATATTTTATATTTTTAAAACTCTTGTTACTTTACTAGAAATATCCATTAATATATTTAGTAATTTAAAAGTTGGGCCAGCTTATTTATCATCCAATTTGAGCACATTTGGCTAGTTTTTTTTACTACGTAATAAAGTGATATAACCCAATCCACCCCGCCGCACTTTGCAATAAACGTAGTATATGAGGCGAAGTTGGTGTGATAGATTTTATAACGGGGTGAAGTAGGGTTTAGCCAAACGCGTCCTAACTCCACCGTTGCCATCCAAGTATAAGGAAAATGTTAGGCTTTTGGTTAGGTAGAATCAACTAAAAAAATAAAGAAAAGTGAAATTTTATAACTTTTTTAGAGTTTGGATATAATGAAAATAAAACTTTCTCGAAAATTTGAATTATCGCAACTTGTTATTTTCCCAAAATGTTTCATGCCCAAAACACGCAAAAATAAAATTTTCTCGCGAAAGCAATGTCTTTCTATTTTGCATTCTTATTTTATCCACCAACTATATCGATAATTGTAAGCCACCCATAATTATTTTATTTTATACTAGATTTCAAAGAATTACAAACCAATAATAACTTTATTAGTGGCAGAGTTTGAATTAACTTAGACTTCTATGAATAGTAATTTGTAAGTGTCAATTAATTGAAAACTATATCATTTTTTAGATGTATATTACTACTAATTAATTCTTTATTATTCTACTATTTATTTTATTATTTTACTATTTTTATAAAATAAGAAAAATATAAAATAAGGACAATTTAGGTAAGTATAAATATTTTTAGTAACTTTTATGCTCTTCAATACAATTTTCTTAAATAATTTTCACCTTAACCAAATACATGCTATAAAATAAATTTTCTTTTTTATCTATTCTCTTTTCTTCCCAATTCTATCTAACCAAACGGAGCCCGGACTCAATTACTCAAAATTTCTTATAAATAGAGGCGGAGAACGAATAAAGGGATACAAGTTTGCTTTATCAATCTTAGCTTTGAGTTAATTGTATCTTGTTTTGTTAATTCTTTATTCTTGAGTGTTGAGTTGATTGTTCCTTGTCTTTGTTAATTCATTATTCTTGAGTGTTGAGTTAATTATTCCTTGTTAATTCTTTATTCTTTGAGTGTTGTGTGATTATAATAAATCTCTCTCTCTTTCATCTATTTTTGGACTGATAAAAATTTATAAAAAAGAAAATATGACACATCCCTCCTATCATCCTTTATTTTCTTGTATCATTTTTACTGAATAATATTTTATTTTCACACTTCTTCCTTCCTTACTATTGAACAATATTCTTTTTATATGTTAAGTTAGAAAATAAAATAAAATAAAAATAAAATAAAATTAACATACAGTGTCAAATATACAAAGGGAAAGTACAAAAAAACCCTTGCCATGAACAATCCGTGCACCATAAAATCTTCTATTTCTTTCATTCCAAACACACCAAATAGAAGTAAATATATTTTTCATCAATTTGCTGCTCATAGAGTGCCCCTTTGTTTGATTGATGAACCGGAGCGATACTATTTTACTTTCCTTCACTTGCAAATCAGACCACGGTATATTTGACAATAACACAATAGTTTATGACAACACCAGAAGAAATGGTCTCTAGAAACTTCATTGAAAAAACAGTTACGACAAGGTTGGAAAAATTAATAAACCTTAATATGAAAAATAACCACAACTTGCAGTTTTTTATGCAACTAAAAACATGTATAAGTAAATAAAATAAAAAACAATGCATAAAAAGTGTCAACAACGTACCCATATAATTTTGCATATGTATAGGGAAAAATAAAATAAAAAAATTATGCATATGTATAAGGGATTTTTACCAATACATGGGCTTAAGGCCCAAATACTACAATGTAATGAGGTTAGAGTTGGGCTTCAATTAGAAAATGAGAGGACCATACAAATTTTTTCTTAAAAATGGAAGGACCACACGACCTATTTTTATAAAATGGACTTAAATTCTATTTTGGACCACACAACAATCTATTTTACTATAATGACCCAAACTATATTTTATAATAACATAAAAGCCTTAAAACATGAAATAAACTTAAAGAAAGATCCCTAAACAAACTATTTAATATTTTTCCCACTAAATTAAAGTTTCACAGTAGATTAATATAGACTTCTAGACTTCTTTAGACAAAAGATGTTATATATATTTAAATTTAACGAAATAGTATAGGCTCTGATACCAAAATTAAATTCAATCGAACCAGATAAAAGCATGCAAATAACATAGAGATAAAATTAACAATTAAATCACAGAAATGACTGTCGAACCTGATAACGCTCTGAAAATACCCTGTAAGAACGCCTGAACACCGGCAAGAACAGGCCAACAAGCTAACAGTTCGAGTCAATTCACAGAAGAAATTACTCAATTAAAACTAAAGTTGTTTATACTGGTTGGATTCAAGAAAATTCTAGGATTTGCACTGTCTAGCTAAATAAAATTTATATATTTGATCTTTTTGTCGACAGAAGTTTTTGCCCGAAAGTACTGAAAATACTAAATGGGGATAAGAAAATTTTGAATGAGAGCAAATTAGATGATTTATTTTATGAAAAATATATACATGGATACACACTGTTTATACATAGATATATTCTCACACAATATTTTAAAAAAGGAAACACACTGAAAGAAAATCACACTAAGAAACTATGGCTGAAAGCTGGAATGCTTGATGGTTCTTAACTTGATTGCTCTAAAACTCGATGATCTTCACTTGAACTGAGGGCCTCCTTTTTGAGAGATGGATCAACGCTTGAGATTGCAGATATGGCATAGATGGCTGAGACGTAAGATGCTTTGAAGAAAAAATTCATTGAATTATTGCGGGGCACCCTTATCTTTAAACTATTTTCAACTTGACTTTTGTCTTTGGAATCTACTTTTGATGGATGTTGGTTGCTTTTATATACTGTTACAAATCTGCTTTTGGACTTGCTTTTTATCTTGATATTATTGGAGAGTCTGTACACTGATGGAGAATCTGTTTTTTTTTTTTTTTTATGCTCTTTAGACTTCTGACACATTAGACAAATTTCTGTCAGTACCGCTATCTAATGAGATGTCTGGTGAGTTGGTTCCTTCATTTTTGTAAGCTTTCTCGTACTGCTCAACCAACACATTTTCTTCATTTATTATTTCTTCAATCTCTGGAGATATCTCAATCTCTGAAGGAGATCAGATGATATAGGCGATTCTGGCTTTGATGAAAATTTTCACATTTACATTATGGCCGAAAAGTCTGAAACCATGGTTATAACTTGGGTTAAGTTATCGATAAGCTTTATAGTACATCAAATGGTCAAAGATGGCTGGTTCAATATCATTACGAAAGTTGTTTACAAAATCGACATGTCTTGTTAGGGTCAGAACTTTTGTAGGATCGGAATGAATGTAAATTTGATGTTGTCTGAGAATTATAGCTCCATTTTTTACCCATTATGGAGGAGTGTTGTGGATTTGAAGGACAATTGGACTTTATAGCATGAAATTTTGGGTTTGTTTTTGTTCGAAAACAATGGCTTGGTTTAATCGATTGGGAAGGTTACCTAAAGCGTCTAAATATTCTAATGGCATGTCTTTTGGTATATAAATGCTATTGACCATTCCTAATTTTAAGAGCTTGCTTATGAAATATTTGGTTGTTTTTGTGGAAAAACAGGTTTT